GTGGCAGTTCAACCCCGCGAGCTGCACCTCCGGTTCAGCAGCTCGCCCAATAGCCACTTCATCCCTTGTTCGCTGTCTAGAGCCCGAACGCCGTTCATATTTACAAAAGCTTCTCCCCCCGGATGTTTTCGATTTTTCTAGGTTTGTCTTGCGGCGGAGGTGTTCATTCGTCGTCGTAGCCCGTCAGCTGCTTCCTGGGCCCTGCGGGAACTGATTTCATTCCGTGACGTTAGCATTTCTCCATTTCCTTTCACGTTTCCAGGGGGAGCAGCCTTATTGCCGTTTCGCGGTTTTCGTGGTTCAAACTCACCAGGGTATGTGACGGGGATGGGCGGCGCGTTGTAGTCGCCAATGAAGTTTCTGAAGGGAGGGACGACGGCCAGCTGAATGGGGCCGAGGGCGCCGAGGACGACGGACCAGAAGTAGGCTGGCTTCTCGCGGGATGCCCAGCGGCAGTAGCGAATGGGCCCGGCCCAGAATCGGGGAGATGCGGCGGAGGACATTGTTTGGGGTACTGTGAGATCGGCAATTAGCAATGCAATTGAATTTGAGGAGGGTATAAGGTGGTTTCTGGGCGTGACGTACTCAATTGACCGTGTCGTGTGTCGTCAAATGATTGTTGCTATCGCTGGCGGACGTCTTTCCACGATGACCGAAGCTCAGAATGGAGTCGCGGGAGCCCGGGGTCCAGAGTCGGAAAAACCTCGTCGGAATAACTTGGGTTGGCCTCCGGCAGGTACCTTTGGGACCCCTGCCAAAAAGCGAGACGGGGAGCTCAGGGCACCTCAGGTCCCGGAGGGATTGGACCTCCCACCCACCTGCCGGGGATTCTCCGACCGCTACCACCTTAGCTTGGCAACGGCTACGTATCCCCAAGCTTCAAGACACATGCACCGGATCCCAAAAGTGCATGTCAAGCTCTCCCGCGCAGCCAGCTACGCCAACGCAACGCACCCCAGCTGTGCGCCCAACTTTCTCTTTTTTTTCTCGAACCTCCCAACCCACCACCCCCCTCCTCCTACGAATTTGTACATTGAATTTCGTCCATCATGCGGTCTCTTCTTTCGCTTTGTCTGCTGTTTCTAGCTGCCGCTGTGCACGCTATTAGCGTCACCGGCGGCCGGCTTCTGGCGATTCTCGACGATGTTGCTGAGAAGGAGGGATACTCCAAGTTCCTTGGAGATTTGGAAAGTACGTTGAATCTTAATTCAAGATCATGGGAAAGCTTGGGGAGAAGAGCGATTGTAAGGTGAGAATGCGATTAGCTAACCAATTGATCGACTTAGGCCGCGGATTCAGCATCTCATACGAGACGCCCAAGAGCGAGTCTCTGCAGCTGTTCAAGCTCGGCGAGCGTGTCTATGACCATGTTCTGCTTTTCCCCTCCAAGAGCAAGGGTATGCGACCCGATTACATTCCTAGATCTACCGAGTCTATACTTACAACGCTTCCGCAGGTCTCGGTCCCAACCTGACCCCCAACATCCTCCTCCAGTTCGTCAACGCCAAGGGCAACATCCTCCTATCCCTCTCCTCCGAGTCGACCGTCCCAACCTCCATCGTGAGCCTCCTGGCCGAGCTCGATATCGCCCTCCCCGCCGACCGCACCGGCCTTGTCGTCGACCACTTCAACTACGACACCGTTAGCGCCTCCGAGAAGCACGACGTCCTCGCCATCCCCGCTCCCAAGTCGGCCCGTGCCGGCGTCAAGAACTTCTTCCACGAGGACGGCGAAGTTATTGCCTTCCCTAGTGGTGTCGGCCACGTCCTCGGTGCTGGCCAGCTCCTCACCCCGATCCTGCGCGCTCCCAAGACGGCCTACAGCTACAACCCCAAGGAGCAGGCCGAGGTCGTTGACGCCAGCGACCTATTTGCCGCTGGCGAGCAGCTCGCTCTCGTCTCGGCTTTCCAGGCGCGCAACAGCGCCCGCTTCACTCTTGTTGGATCTGCCGAGTTGCTGAGCGACAAGTGGTTCGATGCCAAGATCAAGCCCGCGGCTGCTGGCAAGGAGGTAAAGACCTGGAACCGCGAGTTCGCCAAGAGAGTCGCCGGCTGGACTTTCCAGGAGACTGGTGTCCTTCGCGTCAACAACATTGAGCACTACCTCAACGAGGCTGCCAACGAGACGAACCCTGAGCTCTACCGCATCAAGAACGAAGTCGTAAGTTATTCTCAGCGAGATGCTTAGAGAAGTATGAGAAATGGCTAACCCCCTGAGCAGACCTATTCCATCTCCGTCTCCGAGTACTCTTGGGACAAGTGGACCTCCTTCACCCTTCCCAAGGGTGACGACCTCCAGCTCGAGTTTAGCATGCTGTCCCCCTTCCACCGTATCCCGCTCGCCGTCAAGGCCAGCACCGCCGACGCCACTACCTACACCACCTCCTTCATCCTGCCCGATCAGCACGGCATCTTCAACTTCAAGATCAACTACAAGCGCCCCTTCTTCACCAACGTCGAGGAGAAAAACACTGTTTCTGTTCGCCACATGGCTCACGATGAATGGCCTCGCTCGTATGTCATCTCGGGTGCTTGGCCTTGGTTGTCTGGTATCTTTGCTACCGTCACCGGCTTTGTGCTGTTCTCGGCTGTGTGGATGTACAGTGCGCCTTCCGGCACTGCGACTGCGACCAAGAAGACACAGTAAATGTCTCGGGATCATGAGGTTCTTCAGTTAGAGAACGAGGATATGCAGATACAGAGATGCGGATTGTGAGAAGCCATAGCCACTCATGGGGATCTCGGGATAGAGAAAGCGAGCACAAAATGAGACCCGGATTTCACAACCATGTGATATGATCTGGAGCGTGTAACTGTAGTGTACATCTGGCTATAGGATTGCCTCCTGATGTGAAGGGGGCCAAAAGCTTAGATATCAAATGACTTTTACGTTTAGAGCGTCTTGCTGTGATTGTGATAAACACTTATTTTACTTTCATGGCTGATTCTGTCGTGGAGTCCCATCGACGAAGCGTTCTTCGCGAGTTCCCTTTTTCTCACACCTGTGGAAGAGCTTCTAGCATCTTGCATTATGGCAACCAAAGAGATGTAGAAGACTGTTTGCTGTTGCCTCTCAATTTCTCACATCGTCCCTGGCCATCTGCATTGCTTCTTCCACAAAACGCTACTACGGTGTACTGCTCCATATTGGAAAAAGGAAAAGAGAACCAAGGAAGGGGGGGGGGGGGATTATCCCCTTCGTCTGGGACCCTGGCGAGACTCGAATCCCTGGCAGAGCACGATCTCTCAACCAGACGCTTGATGGGGGAAACCTGGATGAGAGAACTTTGTTGGTGGTGGCTTGGTATCTTGTGTGGGTAAAGCCACGAAGACATGGAGCGGTCACCGAAGGGGCACTCCACGGAAAGTCTACGACTCCAACTAGGCTAAACACATGGACCAACATACAAAGACCCTGATTGTAAGAGCTACAAATTCCTTCGAAATGAGAATGATCATACGGCATCTTCTAAGTTCTCAAGAATTGGGGTAACTAAACCGAACCGGAATATCCAACAATCCACAATGTAGACTCGAAAAAGAAACCTCGACGAAAACGTTGCTACCACTGTTTACGAGACTGTTCCGCCATCGAAACATGTCCACTTCCACCCTTTGCCAAAGACTCTTGCTTCATCTGCCGGCGTAGCTCCTTGTTGTACGCCGGCGTCTTCATGTACTCGGATCTGGGGCGCGCCGTCCAGCCCTTGCCGTCGTCGATGAAGCCCCACCAGTAGGAGTCGCTGCCTTTACTGCTGGAAGAGCCCATTTTGGCTGGCTTGTTTGGTTTGCAAAGTGTGAAGTTGGGGGTGTGTGTGGCAAGTACTTGGGATGTGATACAATTCTTTTGGAGGAACGCGTTAGTGAAAATGTCTTTGGCTTGCTCTGAACCGCACTTACGGGTTGAGTTTTAAGTCAGAAAGAGTTGATGTTTGATTCTTATCGTGTTGTAAACAACGAGAAAAACGCAGTTTGGATAGGACAGTCTCTCCATTCATCTCCTCTGAAATGACTTGTCCGTCTAGCCATACTTAAATGCATCTATAAAGGCTCTAAGACACTGGCTGGGTTGACGTCAGCCATCACGCATCGTCGTTACCAAGGCGCCAGGCACTTAGCATTGTCGATCTTTGCGGGTGTAAGTGGCTCAGAGCTGGTTCCTTCACTTGCCGTATTGAGTAGTAAGAATGGCCAAGAAAACGGCAAGCTGTGCCTCCATTGGTCAGAACGTCTCCACCCCTCCCGACTTCCATCATTATGTCCTCTTTCTAGACTTCATCTCTCTGATTCGGGTGAAACAAATGCAGATTCTCCTATTGGGATTGCACTAGACTTTCTCATGCAATTAGTCAGGTCTGGGCCTGCTTAGTGTCAGATGCCATGTGAGCTTGAATGTGGTATGGGCGCACTTGGACTGTTGCTCCAAGCCGCCGATCTGTATACGCGTGTAGGTGGTGGCTCAGGGACTTCTGTAAGCTGTGCGTCACTGACACGCGAGTTCATCACGAAGGTTTATTTCGCCAACGAGGCATTCTATCTGCCTGATGGCTTCTGCTATGAATCATGATTGTATTACTGGTGCCGCACAGGTTCTAGCAAACGCAGGTAATGGGTAACACAAGTTACACGACAGTCTGCCGCTTCAAACTTTTCCTCATTTCCTTATTTTTTCTCACAGCATCCTTTTTATTGTTCTCTCTGTGATTTCATCTATTTCTTAGAGAACGCTATTTGGGAAGCGTGCTAAAGTTATAATAAAAAGAGTAGTGGCAGTGAAAACATCGAAGACAGCTGGTTTTTCGTTGACCGGCATCTTGTTCTGTCATGCAGGCCTCTGTCTGTGTCAAACTTCGAGACTAGACTCATATGATACCGACTATTAGGCATCCATCGAAAGATGGCCCTCTACTGACCAATACCACGTGCGACGGTACGAGGCGCCTTCTATACAAGAAGCAGTGCATAATAATTTCGCCGTATCTATGGAGGCCAAAAGCCAGTAAACTCTCAACGTGGATAGTTTTTTTTACTTCATACAGGAGATCAGGTTCATTAAACTCTTGACTTCAAACCACTGACTCTGCAATTTGTAAAAAGACACAGCCTTATTGAAATGCCACTGATTCTCATACGGGAACGGCGGTGGGCAGCTAACTTTCGGGCTTTGATCCCCGGACCGGCGATTTCGGGAAAAGACCTGTCAGCAAAAGTCCCCGAGGCTGCCAGACTCGAAAGGCAGCACAGCAACAACGGAATAATCAAACACAGGCTAAAGGAATTCATTCATTACCTGCTTTGTACTATTTAGTAGAAACTCAAAGTCCGTTGTCCTGGCTGGCGATGGAGCTTGTTGACGGCTAGTGCGTGTATACGGTATTATGGTACGGTTCTTGAGCGTACACGTCGATCATTGCAATCCCTTAACTGCAGTCTCCTGAGTCAACTAGATAATTACATTTAAGTGACACTTCAAATCTGGAAACTTCAACTGTCTATGGTTGTTTCGAACGAGCTCGTCTGATGGAGTCTTTCCGCAATGCTGGGCTGCCAAGGAGATTCCTCTAAGGTCGTGGTTCATCTCACTTGCAGGATATGCCACATGGGTGGAAAAGGCCTGTAAATTCTCAAGGGTTTGGTGACGGAATCTAAGCCTTCTTATTTCTTTTTATATTTTTTTTTTCAAGTTTTCTGCTCTACGATGAATTATGTCGAGGCAGTCACCTACATACTCCGCGGGACGGGCCAAGCTTTTACTTGCAATCTAATAGACATTTCTATGTGGAAAGCTTCCTATGTGGACCCCATGCTGTCACACCGGCCACGCCGAATGATCGTGGGAGTTGCGCGAAGACCCTTGCCTTCAGTGCCTTTAATCAAATTAACGACAGTTTTACAAGAGAGGGAATGAATACATAGTTCCCTTGGATTCCATAACTATATATCATCGTGCCACTATCAAACAGCTCCGGGGAGTTTCTGTCTTTAGATCCTCCTCTCGAGTACCCTCATTGATAACACCAGACCAAAGGATAATCACAATGAAGTTCGCTGCGGGCAACGTTTTGGCACTCCTCTTCGCTCTTGCTAGCGCTCAGCAGGACCCTCAACACTACCGGCACCTCAACGGTAAGAGCAGTAACTGAAAGAGAGATTCTGAGTAATCTAACGTTTGTTTGTATAGCCGAATGTGTCAAGAACCGCGATTGCTGTCCGTGTGACACGGGATCGGGGGCTTCTATGTACTGCCTACGTGAGTAATGATTACTAGTTTGTGCTTGTCACGCAACTGCTAACTTAGTCCAATAGCGGATTCTACCTCCTCGACGAAGTACCGCTGCCTGCACTTCGGAAACCCTTGGGCTTTTTGCCAGAAGAATAGAGGCCAGTGCGGCGATTGGGATCACCTGCAGTAAAGCAGTAGGGACGGCATTATCGATAGTCACTGTGTTCGCGCCGCCTGGTAAGGTCGACTGGCTCAAAGCTTAGACCTACCGCTCATCTGGGTGGACACGAACATTTGCAATTTGATAGCCATCTTTCGAAGTCCAAGCCTTGCGAAAACTGAACCTGATTCTATCCGGAAAAAACATAAGTTCCTCCCTCGATATCCTCGTCAACTAACTCTGCTGGACATCAATCGATCTCATTGGGCTGCCCTATCATAGCTTTGCGCCTCGCACATTTTCTTGTACATCCCTCCTTGCTCGATGAGCTCATCATGCGTCTCGGTCTAACAATCAGACCGCCATAGAAGACACAAATCTTGTCGGCATCGCGAATTGTGGACAGGCGAAGCGCCACAGCAATGGTGATACGGTTGCCCGTGCCCGCCGCCTCTAGTAACGCCTTCTGAACAACCTTCTCGGACTCCGTGTCTAACGCAATTGTTGCCTCATCTAGCAGGATGACATCGGGGTTGCGCACCAGGGCCCTTGCTATGGCGATCCTCTGTCTCTGGCCACCGGAAAGTTGACTTCCGCCAAGTCCGCACGGCGTGTTGAGCCCTTCGGGGAGAGAACTGACAAAGTCCCAGGCATTGGCTGCACGGCACGCTGCTTCGACAACGCTGTCATCCGCCGCGGCTTCCTCGTGGGCCTCGAAGTCGATGCCTGCTTTGATATTCTCTCTGATGGTGCCAGGAAATAGTGTCGGCTATTGTTGGACGAGTGCGAGTTTGCTGCGGTACAGTAGCGGGCTGAGGTCCGTGAGGGAGTCTATGTCGTCGACCAGGATGGAACCGCTTGTCGGGTTCGTGTCGTAGAAGCACTCGAGGAGAGCGATCATTGTTGACCTGCCACAGCCTGAAGCTCCAACAAAAGCCACAAATTGTCCCCGACCAATCTTCATGAGGCATCGAGTTAGCTAGTTTTCTCGAATTGTCAATGTTGAAAGCCCTGAAATCACATACATTGAGTAAAACGCCCTTCAGAACTCGATGGTCGGGTGCCAATGGATACGAGAATTGCACATCACGGAAGTCGATCGAATGGCAGCCGACTGCAAGACCCTCGCCCTTGTTTTCGTCTTTTTAAAGAATTGTCGGTACGAGATTAGAAAGCCAAAAGCAGTAGTTGGCAGCAGTGTTGGCCTCGGTAAAACCTTTCGGGAGAAAATTAGTATCCAATCTGAATACTGGAATGACTCTAGCTCATAGACGCGAACTCACTGTATGAATAGCTGAAGAATGTTGCCCCAGCCTGTCCAGAAAAAAAGATGCCAATGAAAGAGACGATGAATTGAGAGTATGTAAGTTCTCCGTTCGCAACCAATTTGTACCCCTATCTAATAGGAAGTCAACGTGAAAGGAGACGGACCAGGACTGAAGGACGAAACATACCAGAACCCAAGTCCGAGGATGAAATATTCGACAGATTGAGTAAGCGCGAACCAGACCATCAACTTGAACAGAGGCAAGGTCGAATTTGATACCGTATCATCGAGCTCGCTAGTCTATCTTCGAAGCATGCTTCTCTCTATCGCTAATGATGAAATAGTGCGAATATATTTTACGGTTTCCGAGGCAATTGAAGCGCTGGCGGAGAACTTCGCATCGATATCGGCATCCATCTTCTTCTCGATGCGGATGCGAGCGTAGCCTGAAAGCAACAACGGCGGCACGTCGGCGAACGCTTCCACAAGACCGAGCTTCCAAGAGACGGCGATGGAGAGTATGCTGCTTGCTAAAACGTTAATCAGAGCCATAAAGCACAAAGCCACGTTGAATCCCATAAGCTCAGTAATGGCCTGAGCACTCGATTCAACCCGGTGGCCCAAGATGTACCGACTAAGCCATTGGCAATGTTATTAAACGCCGTGGCGTTGAAGAGAACAGGCTCTTGGAATCAGTTAGTCACATGAGCATCTGCAAGATGGAATGATAGAGGTGAAGACTGTTCGTCAAAGTATTCGTGACTATCCCGTAATATGGGTATTTTTGACCTGTTGAACAAGACGTATGTTGGTCCGAAGCCAATCAAGGCTCAGAGTCCGGATCTCGATGCCATCGAGCTTGATGAGACCAGAATGGGCATCGTACCATCTCTCCAACAAGCCGATGATAGTACTTTTCCCAGGTCCGCTTGTACCCTGTTGTATTGGTTAGACTACGATATGCCGAAGGTATCGTCCGCTACACAAGGTAGGGGAACACGCACAATAAAAGCCGTGACTTTGCCTGCGGGGACTCGAAACGAGAAGTCCTTCAGCACCTGCCTGGGCATCTGGTCTGGTGGGGTAGCTGAAGCTGACGCTGTCGATGTCGATCGCCCCGGATACTTTCTTAGGCTTGGTTCCTGACTCACTGAAAGGGTCAATCGACAAGTTTCTATCAATGAGAGCAAAAAGCTTAGAAGTGGCAGTGACTGGGCGGCTGAACACAACCATGTGGGGTACTACTGCCGTGATGATTGTAGAACCAACGAGGACAGAAAACATAACACTGGTGTTCTCGTCGTCATTTGTGGGGATGGCAAGTACTAAGGATTGAAACTCACGTGAGCACTGTCCCAACGCCGTCAACCTCTTTACGTGCTACCATTTCAATTCCTTGCCAGAAGGCGAGCCCTGACCCGCCATAAATGATAAAGTACTGTCCACCGAACATAACTCCGTAGAGAGGGCTTTTCTTGTTACCCAGTCGACATGCGGAAACGAGGTAAGTTGTGTACTTTTGGATGATTCTGGACTCTATTCCGAAAGTCTTGACAGCTCGGATGCTGCCCAAAATGCTCTCTGCATAAGTCGCCGCCTGCGCATAGATCGGAAAGATCTTCGAGACGATCATGGCGTCGGGGATCGCAACTGAGCTCACCATAATCAGCAGAGCCGGCATGATGCAGCTGATGATTAAGGTCAACTTCCATTGCGTCACAAAAGCAATGATGAAAGTAGCCAAGAAGGTTGTGAGGTTTTGGAAAACAAGCCCATGCTTTTCAGCAATACCTGGCTAGATCATTTTACGACTGGAGGCTGCCTGCATAGATATAGACCCAGCGGTGCCTTGATCGAAGAAGCTGACTTCTTGACTCAGGGCAGACCGGAGATAGGCGCATCGAAGATTCCGAGTGATGTTTAATGCGATGTAGGTAAGAATTGTTGCGTAGATGTACATGAGAACGACTCGAACGAGACCGATGTAAACGAAGTAAAGACTGAGATGAAGACGCGTTAGTTGAGAAGTGATTTTGGAGATATGTTGCTCGAACAACTTGCCAGAATTTTCTCGCGCCAGTTGTGGACTCCTCAGACGAGATGATACCAGTGGTGTAGTTGGCGATAATGTACATAAACCGGCCAAGAACGAGTTCCACCAGCGCCAAGCCTACTCCAGACCCAATGGCAGCAACCACGGCGACAGTTTCGAGGACATAGTCTGTCGGTCCGCCGTATCTGAAGATGCGCTGCACTGTATCATTTAAACAATGAGGTGTTTTTCGTATGGACTTTTACAAAGAACCCTCTCAGTCCGTTAGGAGCCTCGGAATAGCTGCGGCCATGACTGTCATTAGATGTATCAATGCTTTCGCGCTTGGAAAGCACTTCTCGCTTCTCCATGATCAAGTGGTGAACAGGCTGCGACCACTTCCGCGCAGTGTAGATGAGCAAACAAATTTTGGAAAACCGTTCTACAGACGGCATCTTTTCAGTCCAAGGACTCGTCTTTTGCTAGTTTTTCTTCTCGAAGTGAAAGTGTGAAGACAACAGTTGGACGATGCCCTGATACCTTAGAGCTACGTCAAGCTGAAATCAGGCCAAGATCCTTCCAAGCTGGCCGAAGTTCAGTCAAGCAATGGATGGGAAAACACTGCCGAGAACATGAACCCGCCCGTGCTTCAGCCCCGATCTTTCTCACGTCGCCGGGAGCAGCCTCCGAGTCACAAGCTCTCGGGCCGATCACCAACCTGTCGGATGACAGGAACTTCGGAGGTGCTCTCATTGACCGCGAGCAAGAGAAGGAGGGTTGGGCCTCAGGTTCATACTAGATGACTAGAAACTATCCAATGGAATTAGATGACTATGAATCGCAGCTGGGAAATTGGTTGTACATGAACAATCAGATGATCAGAGCACTTGAGTATAATTACTTTGGGTAGTGACTCGAGAGATTAAGCTGCATTAGCTAGCTGTTATCATGAGAGGACTCTTCTTTGTTCCAATGATCCATCATTCATTTGATATTTGATCATCGAGCAATCATTCCAAATCTTTTCGAAACATTACACAACAAGAGCACCACTGTCCGTCGCCGCTACAGTTCCTGTGACGTTGCGGTCCTTCATGAGCCAAAGGTATGCCTCGGCCACATCTTCAACAGTGCCAAACCTCCCCGTCGGGACCTTCTCTTCAACAGCTTTGACCATAGACTTTTTCTCGTGCGTCTTCATGCTATCCCAGAGTTCAGTGTCAACAAACCCAGGAGCAACGACATTGACCCTCACGGGCTTCAGTTCAACTGCAAGTTGCTTGACTACACTTCGCAACCCGCCAGCGAGGTAAGAGATCACGGACCAGCCAGGCGTCGACTTCTGTGCCGCACTGCCGCTGGTGATAGTAAAGGACGATTCATTACTTTTGGGCAGGTACTTTTCCGCGACTTTTGCGACCATCAGAGGCGCAACGAAGCGCATTTGACAGGCGGCAAGAATCTTGTCGGGCGTGACATCTTGCAGCATCATCAGAGAAGGCGTGTTCGCCGCCGTGAAGACGACGTGATCGATTGGGCCAGCTTGCTGGAAGACGGCCTCGATATTGGCTTCGGCATCTGGTCCAGAGAGGTTGGCTTCGAACTTTTGGATCTTTTGCTGCGAAGAAGATGGGATGGCTTTTTGTAGAGATGAGACGACGGCAGACAGCTTAGCAGGGGAAGAAGACGAAATCGTCACATTGGCGCCGCTGGCAAGAGAGGCTTCTGCAACGCCAAGGCCAATGCCAGATGAACCGCCGATGACGAGAACATGTTTTCCTGCGAGTTTGTTGTATTTGGAGGCCATTATCGCGGATGGTAGAAGGGTTCAGAAGGGTTCCTGCGATGAGATTGGAGGTTAAAAGTCGGCAATGGTATGCTGGGAAGCACGGAAAGTGTCTATAATTTGAAGGAGTTTGGATCAGATTTATGCATTTCCCATATTCCTTAGGTAAGGTGATGTTATCGTAACGTAGCGGTGATCCGTACATGTCGGAGTTCTGCCCTCACTCCATTCGTCATTAACCCCGCGTAAACCCCGAGCGTCCAGTTTCGTCCCAAAACACTGAGTAGGTCACATCGTCCGATGGAGTTAAACTGAGCTTAACTAATGCAAGCCCGTTAGTCTATATCTACAATCGTTGTTGATCTCTCAACAGCACTGTGTTTTGCAACGGACTTAAGGAGCCATCGTAAGGTAGTTGAGCCTCAAGTCCGGCACGCGAAGTCCGATGACTACGCATGCCAGACTACACTAAGAGCCATCCATATTCGCGGTTTCGTGCCGACTTCGGGAGATCTCTTGTCGAATGCGTCACACGTTCCTTCTTGAAGATTATGGAAAGGCTGAAGTTCGCAAATCGACAACTACCTAGCGAGGCCTACATGTTGCTTAGAAGATGCACCTTGAGCGGACATGTCGTCTAGTTGTATGTCGCCCACGACCCAATCCTTAACATCTCTTGAAGTGACCTTGCCACTGCGTTCAACACACACATCTCGCTTAACATGAATGCCGTTCTCAGAAGTGACAACGTTTTCGTTCTTTGCGACTCCATTGCCGTTCACGTATAACCCGTCAGTAGAACCTTGCAGGCTGTTGCTGTCTTCAAGGCGCTCAAACGAGCCGTCGAGGTCGTCCTCTTCTTTCGATCGCTTCATATGGCCGCCGCCTCGGTTGGACATTTTGCCAATGGTGACGAGAGTATTAAAATTCTTGGAGGCCGACGATTTCCCCTGTGCGTCAAGCCCCTTCTTCCTGGCGGAGCGGGAGCCATAACGATCCCCCGAACTAACGACGCTAACAACTCCACCAAGCCAGCGGCGAAAAAGAGGTGCGCAGGGTGGAAGACATGCGCCAATTATCGCTAGGCAGGTCTCGACAGCGGAAGCGGCGTGGGGTATAATGACCGTTTGACTGATGTTGTTGCCAGTGGTTCCTTGCCCGGGCCGGTAGATGGCGAATAGTATGAGACGTGCGACGGATGCGAGCACGACGCTTTCCGAACAACTCGCGTTAGTCATCATCATTCTGTGGCTTCACGATGAGGGTCGACTTGACTTACCTGCCTCCTAGGAGAAAGACGCCGCTGATAGCAAGCTTTTTCTCCCTCCCCATCTGTAGTGCCCAGACTTCGCGAATGGGAAGCACGACCGTAAGGATGTCAAAAATGATATTTGGAACCGTGATGCCAATGAAAACGTTGCTTGAGTTGATGCATGTTCCAGGGATGGTCCGATCCCAGAAGCGAGGAATCGGAGTACAAGAGAAAACTGTTTAGTGGCGTCAGTACAGAAGAACCGTGCCACAAAAATGCCCCGTGAGAAACTTGACTTACTGCTGACCATGATAACGGCAATACTCCATCCAATGAGCATGACAGTGATAGTCCAAATACTATACCGAAGCAATTTGGATGCGGAGAAGATTCTATAGAACATCGCTAAAACTGCCATCTTCGACAATGGGCACGCAATAGCATATTGGATCTCCAAGACAAGTATACACTTTGGAGGTGTAAGTCAATGTTCAAAAACTGGCGCACAGGATTTTGAAAGGTTGTGACAGCTACCTGCCCTTAAGGTTCTTGCAAAGAGCGGTATGACATACCTTCAAAAACGCTGAAACACCGCCTGGATACGATGCAACTATCTGATTAACGTCTGTTCCGAGGCCATACTCTACCGCTGCGATTGAGGCTTTGTCAGTACGACGGGGGCAGGTGCAGAATGCTACGGGCCCTGATAGAAGAGGTGGTTCGAGAACTGCAAACAGTAACTTACAAATGCCTTCAGTAATTAACATAATGTGATTGGCAACCTGTATGACTTATCCATTAGCGATGCTAGGCTCTTCATACTATGGGCCCTTCAGGATATGAGCCCTCTCACCAATGCTACGATGACGACATGTTCGTCAAAAGTCCATGGTGACTTGGCGACAACTCTGGTGACATAAAGTCGCAAACCAACTAGGACGGTTGCCAAAACACTGAAAACAGCATGAGGCACAATTAGAACCCTTGCAATATTCTCTGCGGAAGAATATGTAACGTCTGACATAATGTGCTTTGTGACGAACCTAGCACAACTTGTCCATTCAGTCGGGAAAGTGATTTGCTAAATGCCTGGCAAAAACACCGTTAAGAAGCAGTGAGAACTTTGTAATTAAGTAAAAATGATATAAACTCACTGGCAGCCCGAAAAGAAAAGAGACAGCTATACGGAAAAGGACCCTTCTTTTGCTGGATTATGCTGTTAGCGAGTATAATTCCGTAATCAGGCCGGCGTCGCGAGCGGAGCTGCGCCGTTCGATCCGGTACCTGGGACCCATGTCTTCCACCCTTGAATCCATTCGTCACGATGCCGCGATCCGTGGACCGCACCACAATAAATCCTCGCGATGCCGTATGTAATTGTTTATCCCGAGTCAAGCAAACTCTCTTTACCATACCTTGGAACACCCAAAACCATCTTATCACGAATTTTGTACAAAATCTTAGCGTTGCCAGAGTTATTCTTATTTATCTTGCCGCCTCTTGAAGGTCGGTGCCTCCTGATTCGTCAATCAGTTCCAACTTAGCAGAATTCAAACTAAGAATGAGGCTGTTGGTTGTTCAGAAATCACCGGTTTCAAAACGACCCATTAATACCTTTGATTGGGCTGCTTATCGCGTCATCCCCATAAATGAAAGCAGTTTCTTCTGGGTGTTCGTCCCTTTGGAGAAATGCCACATTGCGTCGCATCATTAAGCGACTTCCTTGTCCCACCAAGATTGCAAGGTTAAAACTAATGGAAGTTTGGGACCCGTCCATAAGATGATCAACATTTCCCTCACAGCTCAATTCTCAGTCTTGAGTCAGATTTGTCTGCCCGAGCAACAAGACGAAATACTTGTAGCAATTGTGGTGTTAAAAATTCTGAAGCCGCGTCCTCACTTCAACTCACATCATTCATCCTCAAAGAAGATAGACCTTGATCTTAAAGCACAATGTCGGCAGTATCAAGCCCCTCCAGATCACTGGGCATTGTTTTCGCCCACGGGGGCTTCCATCTCCCCGCTTGTTTTGACCTCGCCAAAGCTCGGCTGGAGAAGGCAGGCTATTCTCCAGTTGTTGCAGTCCGCCACCCCAGTGTGGGAACCGATCCCAAAATCACCGTCGACGACGATGCCCGGAACATCCAAGCCGATCTTGCCCCTTACCTAGAGGAGGGGAAAGAGTTCCTTGCTTTGGCTCACTCATACGGCGGAAGCCCCTTGACCATCGCAGCGAAAGGTTACTCGGTCAAGGAAAGGGCAGCTTCGGGTCTCAAGGGCGGCATCCGCGCCATCGTCTTCGTAACAGCCAACATGCCCCCTAAGGCCGGCGCCAGTGCACTGAGCGTGCTGCCCCCCGGCTTGGACATTGTTGATATGGCTGATGGACTGGTCATGGCAAACGCCAAGGCCAAAGCCGCATTCTACGGCCCCGATATGGACGACAAATTGGCTGACGAGTGCATGGCGGCACTGCTGCCGCAGTCGCAAGCGGCTCTCTTGGGTCCGGCATCTGTCGGCTCCGAGGAATTGACGGTTCCAGTCTACTACATCCTTTGCGAGAAAGATCAGACAATATCCTCAGCCACGCAAGAGCAAATCATCTCGACCATTCCTACACTGAAGAGAGTTCTGAGAAATCCTGGCGGACATTCGGCCTTCATCACTGAGGTGGACAAGTTTGTTGAGCAGATCAAGGAGATTGCTAATGAGGTAGAGAAAAGTCTCTAGAGATCAAATGCTAGATGGAAGACTCTTTAGACTAGGTTAGGGCAGGCCCGTCCTTCGGATTAGAACCTGAACACCAAGGTCTACATAAATAATAGGCCCACTAGTGCAACTGTCGTTGAGCGGCATCCATGATTTGCTTGAATAATTCGTCAGAGTCGGGTCTGACGGGATTAGCCGCCTATAGTGCTTGTTGACAGTCGTCAGGTGTGTATATCAACCTTTGATTGATGAATATCTTTGCCTGCTTTGCCAACTCCCCCGAGAGGTGTATCTTTCTATCCCAACCACTCGTGACCACAGCACCCCATGCTCCAAGATCAAGACAGCAATTGTACGATTCCTGTTTATACTCGAACAGGGGAATTCCCAAGAGGTCTGCAGCAGCGTTGTATCCCGAGACCGAGACACGACCAAGCTGAAGCGCGTGCTGACAGGACATCAGTGCGTAATTCCCATTGCTGTCAGAGGCGGCATAAGCAGCATCGCCAGTGGCAAAGATGCGCTCTGATGACATGGCGCGCAGGTAACGATCGACGTGGAGGCGTGATAGCTTATCCTTGGGCCCGGGGATTGTCTGCGTCAACAGTGTTGCTCTCACTCCCGCGGTCCAAATCGTCGTCATAGTCTCGATCCTCTCTCCGGATGCGATTTGGACACCCTCTGAGTCGACTGCCGTAATAGGCGAGCCGAGTCTAAGTTCGATTCCAAGCTCATCCAACGCTTGAGTGGTCACTGGTCGAGGACCAGGTCCCAGCTCTGGACCAAGCACTCCCGCTGCCTCTACCAAGATTATTCGCGGGTTCTTGATTAAAGTGAGACGTTTGAACAGTTCAGTCGCCAGCTCAATTCCAGTAAAACCAGCCCCGCATACGACAACGGTGTTGCGAGCACAGCTCGATGGGTACGCTCCAAGATTGTTGAGATGCGCTTCGAGCTTGATTGCGCCTTCCAGTGAGTCCACATCATGTACATGCTGCTCGAGTCCGTGTACTTGCTGTGGTCGAACAACCGGGCTTCCAGCTGCAAGGATGAGACGATAATATGTGACGTGTTGCCCAGTGCCTGCACGCGACTTGTACGATATCATATGAGAGTGGGTATCGATATCATCGACGCTGCCATGGATGAATTCGATACCAGATGCCTCGAATAGTGGTCCGATATCTTGACTCATGTTAGACGGATTTGCTTCGTACAGTCGTGGTCGCATGACAAGGCATGACTGCGGTGCTATGACGGTAACTTTGAAGGCTTCGCCCTGTTCGTGGATCTTGATGAGGCGTTTGGCAGACAGGGCGCTCCAGACACCTGCGAATCCGGCTCCAACGATGACGATCCTGCCGGGCATGTTTGTATGAAAGTGACAGCCAGGATTGAAACTCTAAATGGTAAATGTAGGATGAAAATGTCGAGAAAGTAGCTGCGATACGAGTGAGAGATTTTGGGTGTGTGGTTCTTGAGTTATTCTTTGATGTGAGTAGTCCCGAAATTCGCAGATTCTTATGCGTTGACAGTCGACCTTGGGATTCCCAAGAATCTTGAGCTACTAAACATGCTTATTTTTGTAATTTCGATCCCCGAGAGCTTGGACTGGCAGCATCCGCATCCTGTCTCAGCGGGCTCCTGTTGTGCCGTTGTTGAGCTCTACCACGCTAACCTGCTTGGCTACACGGCTTTGTCGTGGACGTGGCGGCCGGCTTACATCGGGTACCCGATTGATTTACAACGGGTCCCCTAATACCCGAGTCCCCGCAACGGTCAAAGGGTACGGCGGACATCCGATTTTCTTCTCAGTTCCAAGTTCACACACCCGCAAACACGTGCACCGATGACCCCCTCTACACACTTGAATGGCGGAGCATCCCGCTCATCACTGGCCTGTTTGCCATGCCGTTCAAAGCATTTGAAGTGCGACGGAAAGCGACCCCGATGCGATAGGTGTGCTGGCGCCGTCAAAGACTGCCGATATGCTCCATCACGACGGGGCGGGCTGGATCGTGCAGCACTAGCAGAGCGAAGAAAGCGTCTCGCCTTAACGAACAGTGTTGAAAACAGCAGTTCCGAATCACCCGGAAGTGGTCCATCAAATCAGTCACTGGAGTCGGAATTTTTCGGCGAAGACTCTCTCGCCGAGTTAAACATTGGACTGAGTATGCACGATGGCATAAGTCTCGTCTCTCATGTTCCTCCATCGACTCTGCCCAGACCCTCGATCATATGAGCAGATGATGCTGAAAACGACACGCTTCTCAACGCATATTATACCAATTTCCACAAATTCCACCCGTTCCTTCTACCGCAGGAGCACCTTAGGAGACTACATCAAGAACTTAAGTGGGTAGTACGACTCAAACCACTAATGAACACTATGCGTCTCGTAGGGCACATTTATACTGCCAGAAAATGGTCTTCTGAGATCCAAAATGACGCCGAATGTCAATTTCTTGAAGCAGCGCCGACTGACCCGGTTATGGTGCAATGTCGGCTATTGTACTCCATAGCCTTGTTCTGGCACAGCTTCAAAGCTGAGGCCAAGGACCAGATGGACCTCGCAGTTCGCTTGGCACTGGACTTGCAAATGTTCCAACAGGAATTTGCAGCAACTCATGGAGACGGCTCCCCGGTGCTGATGGAATGTTGGAGACGAACATGGTGGACGCTGTTTATCATCGATGCTTACTACGCTGGAACTCTTGGGACCATGAATTTCGCAGTCGTGGACGTGGAGTCCAGCGTAGAGCTGCCCTGCACAGAGGCTGAGTACGAGTCTGGGGTGATTACCACCCTTACCTTAGAATTTGAGAGATCAACGTCGCTGAACCCGTGCCAAATAGGACATCCCGGAGCCACAGACTCTCGAGGGATTCGACTGTCGAGAATTTGCTTCGGAAGATGAGTCTTTCTCTTCCTTTGCGTACCTCATAAGTGCTGTAAAATGTGCGGCCTTGGCTATATCTACGACACCGAAATTAGTTGCCAGAGGAGACTCTATGCGCATGATTGTACAAGCTGACTCAATCATCGACGGCTGGTCATTACTACTGCCAGAAGATCATCGCAATGTCATGTCCAAAACCGGAGAGGTTGATGAGCTAATGTTTCAGGCCCATCTCTTGGTAAACGTGTAAGATAAAATTTGATCTCTTGTAAGGCCTGTTTCAGCTGATATCCGTTCGATCCGCTAGGGCAACCATCGGTCTACATCGACCTTTATCAGACCTGAGATTCAACCCGGTAGAAGACACCTCAAGCTGCGCCAGGGAGCCTCCCAAAGAAAATCCCGAAACGGAGCTCGTCAATGTGCATACCGTCAGAGTCCTTCGGGCAGTACAAGCACAAGTGAGGCTTTTAGCGCTACCGACTGAAGGATTCCATCACAGCCCCTTTACCACGTGTATGGTCAGTGAAGGGGCCTTGGCGCTGCTATCGGCCTGTAGCTTTCTGCTCAAGGGGAAAGAGCTCGTTTTTGCGCGAGATCAGATCCGGATGACGATTGGTTGCCTCAAAACTTTGGGGCAGGTGTGGCCAAGAACAGCAAAGAACGTGCAGGAGATTCAGACGATTGCTCAGCATGTACTGGGTCTCAAGTCCAAGCTGAACAGAGGGAGAGCTGCTTCAAACACTGCCAGATCTCTGGCAGTGTTTGAAGGAAGCAGTGCGGAGACTTCGGGTTCCCATTCATATTTGTCAAGCAACGAGAGTGAAATGTTCGCTCCATTGGGCTCCATGGATGATGTTTGCGGCTGGTATAACATGGAAGACCTTGGCCCACAGCTCTCGCAATGGATGCAAAATGACGCATAGATATGTGTTAAATAGTCTCAAACAGGACATATTTGGAAGGAAGTTCTTCGAACAAGTTACATGCGTGAGTAAACATGGCCTTTCAATCGAGAAGTTGACGGAGGCACTAGGCATCTGTGTCGCACACATGCCCACAGCAAGACTCAACAGTGTTAAACAAGTCTCATTGCTGATGAATCTGTCAAGTTATAAGAATCACATGTTGATAGGTTTATCGAAAATCAATGACTACTTTATGACCTCTTCCCCTCTGCTGGGAACACTCCCAAGCTCGCACCACCTCTATAAGAGGAAACGACTTTACCATTAAAGCTTGCAGAGCGCCCGCTTCAACCATCCCAGATGCCCTACACAACCTCTCAGCATTAGGAGAAACAATGAAGTACTTGTACCGAACTCCAGGTCTCCCAAGCGACTCTTCCGGCACAACATTCCCGAAAGCCCATGGAGGCGGTGGATCAGCGACGGTAATAATCATCCCATCTTCAGTCACAAGCCTCCAAGCATCGCTAAGAATACTCCCACCCACTGTGTCGATAACAATATCCACGGCACCAACCGAGGGGATCCAGTCAGTGTCATTATAGTCCAAGACATCGGCATCTAGCTGCCTCAAGCTTTCGTGATGTCGGGGTGAAGCCAGCGCAAGGACACGAGCTCCAGTAAGCTGTGCAACCAACTGAACCGCGATGAGTCCAACCGCGCCAGAGGTTCCGGTGATTAGGACAGTCATATCGGCGTTAATATCTCCGTGGTCGATGACAGCTTCCCATGCCGTAAGAATCGGTATTGGAAGTGCGGCAGCTTCAACATGAGAGATAGAAGCAGGCTTCGGAGCAACCTCGTTTGGCAAGCAAGAGACATACTCAGCCTGGCATTGTCCGCGGTCTGCCGAAGTGAATGCAAAGACTTCTTGGCCGATGACGAGGTCTCCGGTGTAGTCTGGGCCTACTTCATCGACCGTGCCCGATAGCTCGTGGCCGGGAATCCGGGATGCAGTCTGGTAGAGCTCAGGCCAGCCGAGTTCATCGCCAGTGACTCCGGCGGCGTGGACCCGAACCAGTATTTCGGCGCCTTGAGGCGTGGGCTTCGGTGTTGCGGTATTTAGAATGATGTTTGGTGACTTCTTGTCGCCCAATATTTGAATCGCCTTCATCTTATCTGCCATTGCTCTCTCCAAGATGGGATTGATGGGCGAGTCGCTGAACGGAGTTTGATAAAGCGTAAAGTATGTTAAGGCAAAAACGGTCGCTCATGCTACGGAGATGTCGTAATGTTAATCATAGTCAATGTCAAAAGAGAATTTCCTGTTGTTTTACCGGCTTTGTCCTCCCAGTTTGACGATACTTCTCCCGGGAACCCGTTTGGACGGGATTCGCTCACGGCGCTTGCGGGTATCCGCAAGTACGTACCACCTCCCGGGTTCCCGTTCACTCGGGTATCCACACTTCTCGACGGTGCCGACCCGGGCCGGGCTTCTACGATTTCGGGATCGTTAAGGTGCCTTACTAGGCACATTGAGTACGAGCTTCAGCCTATATCTTCTGGGTCCAAAACCTTGTGTTTGATGACTTGAAACTTGTAATCATAGTGGTCGTTACAACGCTTTTCACCCGCGCATTACCGTCAAGAAAAACAAAAGAAGTCATCGTTACGTGGTATTCAAGCCTCCTTAGAATTGAACTCAAAGATTGAAACATTCAGATAGCTCACAGGAGCAGCTCCCGTCTAATCCTGTACTGAAAATTTACAAGTATGACGCGACCCCGCGAAACAGTCAAAGTCATCTACGACTACAAGCTCGCCAATGCCGAGGGAAAGTCGATAGTCGGCCTCGAAGTGACCTACCCACCCAATAGTTACACTCCTCCCCACCGACACGCCGGCGCCGCGGTCGTGGTGAATATCGTCGAGGGGAGTTTTCTTAGCGGCATGAATGGGAATCCGCCAAATATGTATGAGGTCGGGGAAGGCTTCATGGAGCTGCCCGGCTGTCACCATACAGTGGGAGAAAATCCCAATAGTGAAAGTCGTGTGGTCTTTGTTGCTGTCTTCATCGTGAACACCAAGGTCTTGGAATCGGGATACGAAGCCCTCACTGTGCTGGATGAAGGATATTGAAGAGCGGTCTACCAAAGCATAGCTGGCATATAGAAGCCGTGTATGGGGTATACCTTCATGACTTAGACAGGTAGCACCGCTCTGCGGTATTGATTACATTATAGTGATCATGAGATGTTATGACTGGTAGGAATGATACATACTGGTGCGGATCCTGAATAACATAAATCAAACAGCCCAGTAGATTTCAACCTTGACACTCTCCACGTAGTTGGCCCAGCCACCGAATCTCGCCTTGCCCCATACCGTGACCACGTCTCCCAGCTTCAGTTTACGAACAAACTGTCCAGTCCCGGTGCCCTTACCGCGACCTATCTCAGCCAGTCTGTCGGCATCGGGTGACTCTGGGTGAATGTCGTCGGTCCAAGACCATACCACCTCATGGTCCATAAAGTCCCTATTAGCAGTCTTGTTGGTTTGTATCTTGAGGTTCTCCAGTGGTTGGAGGTCATGCGAGTAGGCAAGCTTTCCGTCGGCAGTGGGTTCGACAAGAGGACATATCGATTGAAGGCCGCAGGTGCAGAGTTTCGTTTCGTTGGTGAAGGGTGCCCGTTCGGACTCGGTGTCGGAACTGTCTTCTGCTGTGTTGCAGGATCCATCGCCTATTTCGTTAGTATTTGCAGACATTTCATTCCACAGTGTAATACTAGCTTACAGGTGCGCTCCTTATCAAACTTCTCCAAGCCAGCTTCAAACCAAGACCAGGATCCTCGGTAGGACCCACGATCGCCATGTCCACCGCCCCAACCTTGATCTTTGCTCCGCAACTTGAAGACGATCTTCCGCACCGGATGGGTCAAAGTGGGCGGCGCCTTCATGGAGCCTGTGAAGTATTCTCTCGGAGGCCCAGAGACCACTTCGGTGGGCCTCGAAGTGGTTTCGAGGAGCGTCAAATTGCGGAGCGGCTCCGTAACGGGAGACCCATCGCCCGACTTTGGCGGGAGCGGAGCCGTCTTGAAAGCCGTGCCGACCTTTTTGAAGTCGGAGAATCCGATGGGCGGACAGCGCAGGATGAACTTGTTCTCGTCTTTGGTGGTACCGACGACGCGGAGGGCGTCGCGTAGAGGTGTGACTGCGTGGTAGATGCTGGCTTCGGAGTGCGGCCAGTATTCGGCCTGGTCGATGATGAGGTCCAGGAGCTCGGGAGGGAAGTTGAAGGCCTTTTCGAGCATCACACGGACGACGATGACATCGGCGTGCGAGGGCTTGTAGTTTCCGGGCTCCTGCGGTGCCGGCCCGTAGTGGTCGTCCTGGTTGTCTGATTGCATAATGCCGACGGCTCTAGCGATGATAGCACCGGCTGCTACTGTTGCGAAGGTTCCGGCGTATTGTTGGAATTGGGTGAAGAAAGACATGTACGGATTGGCGTGGAGGAGTAACTTGGGGACGATTATAAGAGGAACGGTGGGAAGAGGGGTAAGAAGATGTGTAGGCACTGTTTGCCGTAGGGATCTCGTGGTTGTGGTACGTGTGGAGGCGACGTCAGCTAAGGCAATGTGTCTGGCAACTTTCAAAGGTTCCCGTCATTTCGGGGTCGGTGCACGGAGGCCTGCAGCTTAAATTGACGTCAGTGGGGAGGTGGACCCGATGGTGGGGTTGCGAAATGTCACTGAAGAGGACCCTTGCTCGATTCGATAAGCATCTCTTATCGATTAGCATCACGTGAAATTACACCATCGCTAGCCACTGACCGAAGACGATGGGTCGTCGATGGAGGAGCTCCGGCTTACAAACCGAGAGCCGATGGCGTTGATATTTCTGTCGCAAGTGACCTGAAAGATGGTCCAAAACTCTTCATAGTCCCCAATTGCCATTCTCTTGTCCGTTTTTTTTTTGTCCTGATGAAGTGCCAAAGAATCGCCTCGCAGGCCCTTCGCCAGGCCCGCACACCAGCATCGCGCGTCCAAGCTCCCTCCGTTTTCCGGAGCTCTCAAGTCGCGGCGGCCGCTCCTCTTGGCAACCGACAATGCGCCCACCAATTCCACTCCAAGCCGGCGCGAAAGGCGTCAAACAGCCCCGGCGATGCGTCGAACCCGGCAATGGCATTCCCGTGCCTTGACGCCCTCGAGAACCGATCAGCGAGCCTCGAGGCACGATACGAATCGAGCGGCCCCGAACCGTCCTACACCGCCGGCGCGACAGAAATATACCACTGCAAGGACCCTCTCTTGCTCGACTGGGGTGGTGTCCTACCTGAATTCGATATCGCATACGAATCTTGGGGCAAAATGAACGGAGACAAGTCTAATGTCATTCTTTTGCACACTGGCCTCTCGGCATCCTCGCACGCGCATTCGACCGAAAGCAATCCCAAGCCCGGTTGGTGGGAAAAGTTTATCGGACCTGGACTGGCCTTGGATACCGACAAATACCATGTCATCTGCACAAACGTAATAGGAGGCTGCTACGGCTCAACAGGACCGAGCAGTATCGACCCAGCAGACGGACAACGGTATGCGACAAGATTCCCCATCCTGACCATGGAAGACATGGTACGCGCGCAGTTTCGCCTGCTAGACGGCCTCGGCGTAGACAAACTTTACGCCAGCGTCGGCTCGAGCATGGGCGGCATGCAATCTCTCGGCGCAGGCGTCCTCTTCCCGGACCGCGTCGGCAGGATCGTCTCCATCAGCGGATGCGCCCGATCACACCCCTACAGCATCGCGATGCGGCACACGCAGCGGCAGGTGCTGATGATGGACCCGAATTGGAACAGAGGCTTCTATTATGGCAGGGTCCCGCCACACGCCGGGATGAAGCTCGCGCGCGAGATCGCGACCGTCACGTACCGCTCGGGCCCGGAGTGGGAGCAGAGGTTCGGCAGGCGGAGGGCGGACCCGAGCAAGCCGCCTGCGCTGTGTCCTGATTTCTTGATTGAGACGTACCTGGACCACGCGGGTGAGAAATTCTGTCTTACGTACGATCCTAATAGTTTGCTCTATGTCAGCAAGGCGATGGATCTTTTCGATCTCGGCAGGGAGAACCAGGTCGCTGCCAACGCGAGGAGGGCGGAGCGTGAGAAGCTCCTGCAGTCTGGAGAGTCGCCTGCGCGCAACGATGCGGCATGCAGTCTCACACTGCCTGAGAAGCCCTACGTGGAGCAGCCAGAGTCCAATGCTGGCGCGGCTGATCAGCCCGTCAAAGTATCCTCCAGGCCTCCGGAAGACTTAATCGCGGGTCTGGCACCTCTGAGAGACACCCCTGCTCTCGTGATTGGCGTGGCAAGTGACATTCTCTTCCCTGCCTGGCAGCAGAGGGAAGTGGCCGAGGCTTTGAAGCTCGCGGGCAACAGGAACGTCGCGCATTATGAGCTGAGTGAGGAAATGAGTTTCTTTGGACATGACACATTCTTATTGGATCTCAAGAACATTGGTGGGAACTTGAAGAACTTCCTAGGATAAATTAGCTAGGAGGGAGACAACGGCCGGGAACGTGTAAAAGGCGGTTGGAGTTGAGGAAAAAGTAATGCATGAAATAGGTTTCTGGGAGATGTCCAACTTGCATAGTATGTAGTCTTGTACAGCATCCAGACATGAAAAGCATTGATGATGATATATTTGTGGCCAGTATTTCTGTGTTTGCGATCTCTTCGTGTAGTCGAGACTTGAATGCCTTGAGGAGGCTTATGAGCTACTTCGTTACAACGATATCCACATATAACTAAAAAGGAGTTCACCACCGGTATGGCTACATCTCTTGGCGGTTATTATGGTGCTCATGCTGGGATCGTATGCGGACTCGAACTCGTAGCCAGTTGAGTAGGCAGAAGGGGTAATTGTCGACCATTTAACCATTCCACCATCCAGCCAGTTTGTCCTGCTCCCCCGGCTTAGAGGGGCGCCTGCCGTTGCTGGTGACAGAACTAGGACTGAGGGGGGTTATATGGACTTCTGATGTATATTCACTTATGTGGAAGGAACGGCCAGCCAGCACCTGCCCTTCTAGACAATGTGGCTCCTGGGGCGATGATTCAGGACGGTGGCGCCATCATCCAAGACCTTCTGTACCCTTCATCTGTAGGTTCCTCACTAAGCCAAGGCTTCTAATAAAGCGGGAAGGTTCTAAAGAGGTCAGGTACGCTTCAGCTACCATCCGCACATCCTGGGCCAGATGCAAGAGTAGGTGTCTGCATTGGGGAAGGTTCCTGAGGTATTACACTTTTCGTTATTCTTCTTTGTGAGTAAAGGATGGGACGTTCTATCCGCTAGCAACAGGAGAGCAGATAATTAAATGAATAATTGAAATGGGCGAAAGTGAAGGGGTAGCAAAGTCTAGTTATAGGTCGACAGAATGAGCCTCGGATATCTTTGATTCACCTAAGATGGCCACTGTTGATCAACCGCGAGCCTCCGGGTTGTGCAGGGGCAAGGCTTTGGGTAACCCCGGTCAAACACTAAGCCGGAGGAGGCCCCGCCAATCCGCTTCATTAGTCTGACGTCAATCGACTCATCTACATCAACGCTAAAAGGTTGTAGGACGGCATCTTCCATAACAATCTCAATGAAATGAGAGTAGCCGCACTTGTTTCTCGACAAACTCTCAATCATCTCAATACGAGACCAAGGTTCAATAACTTTCAATCAACTCTCACTCAGCCAGGCCTTCCCAACACGCATCGAAGTATCATCATACGAACCATGTCGACAGTCACACTACAAGACAGCGGCATCCAAGCGAAGCTACCCAATGGCCTCTCAGAGGACCAACTCCTAGGTTTCCGACCCTTCAACGTGTGAAGCTGCTCCTCGGAATTCTTTCCTCAAGGGTCAAAACAGAGCTGACCGTCAAGCCAGGATTGGGTCAAGGGCCTCAGCAACTCCCTAAGCCTGCAAGCCAAGAGCAAGGATCACCCATTCCACCAGGATCCCTACCGCCTACGCGGCATCACAGTCCAGGCCTTCGACATCTTCGGCTCCGGCCGCGTCGGTTTCCTTAAAGTCGTAGCCGACGTCAAGAATGAGGCGGGAGAAGGGCTGCCCGCCATCGTTTTCCTTCGCGGACCCAGCGTCGGCATGCTGGTGATGCTCATCCCCGACGACGCGCCGCCCGATAGTGACGAGCGCTACGCCGTCCTGACGGTGCAGCCCCGCTTGCCGGTCGGCAGCCTGTCATTCGTGGAACTGCCCGCCGGCATGGTCGACGACAGCGGTAGTTTCGCAGGCGCGGCGGCAAAGGAGATCAAGGAGGAGCTTGGCCTGGAGATTCACGAATCCAAGCTGACGTGCTTGAGCGAGCTGGCTGGCGCGGGCAGATCGAAAGGAAACGAAGCCGAAGAGGGCTTGGCAGAGGCAATGTACCCCTCTGCCGGCGGATGCGACGAGTTTGTGACGCTTTATAGCCACGAGAAGAGGATCCCACGCGAGCAATTGACAGAATGGAGCGGCAAGCTGACTGGGCTAAGAGATCATGGGGAGAAGATCACGTTGAAGCTCGTGCCGATGAAGGATCTGTGGCGGGAGGGCGCGCGGGATGCAAAGTGTCTCGCCGCGGTGGCTCTTTGGGAGGGTCTCCGGCGCGAGGGCAAGTTATAACTTGGACGGAGGCAAGCATTGGCAAGCATGTAGCACCGTTAAAGCTTGAATTTCTTTGCTAATTCGATGCCTTCGGCAATGGTCCCCACGCGAGCATCGATCGCGTAGCCCTCCTTCCCGAGACGGACGCACTCTGCCCAGAAGTTGGACAGCGGCACGGTGAAGACCTCAATGAATTCTCCTTCTTCTAGCTCGGCCTTTGGGTTCTGGTTCTCGGGGAGGGAGGTGTCGATAGTGACGTGGATCATGCGAAGGTTCGTGTTACAGAAGCCGGGGTCTAGGAGTGATGGACTTTAGGTGAGCTATTCCGGGGCTCATACGGAGTATAGGTACTCGAGCAACATACCATTGAACATGATCGGCGTGGTCTCAGATGCCTTGCCAACGTATCCTGTCTCCTCCTTGAGTTCACGCACGGCAGCCTGCTCGGCCGTCTCGCCTTCGTCGACGAGTCCCGCGGGGACTTCAATGCAGACCTTGTCAATGGGCGGACGGTACTGCTTCTGCAGGATGATCTCGGGTCCGGTGGGCTTTTCGAGGATAGCGACGATGCCGACGCCATCAATCTCGCCGTTCTTGGGGCGGGTGCGGCGCTCGGCGGATTCCCAGGTGCGGGCGTTGCCGTTCTGGTCGTCGTAATTGATTTTGATGAGCTTGATCCAGCGGGCTTCGCCCTCGCCCTGCGGTTTTACGGGTCAGCTGAATGTAGATTGTAGACCGGGATTGCTTGAAGTAAGTTATGCTTACCAGAGGGCTGGTGGCGGTCACTTTGGCAGACATTGTGGTGACGCTTGTCTTGGAGTTGGAGGAGAGGCGAGGAAGCTCCAGTGTGATGGCGGGGTAGCTTCTGTCACTGCTCCGGGCTGGCTAGTGCTTGCGGCCCCGCGGTATTAACCTCCTTTAGTCATCATCCAGTTCCTGCCGACAGGACATTTCCACCTGAATATGTGAGGAATGCAGAAGGTACCGATATCAAAGTCATACGGCAATTGCTGTCGGATATCAGCGCTACCTTGGACTTCGCTTGGGTATTACCCGCATGATCGCCTCAAGACTGTTGCAGACAATGCGTGTAGCTAGAATGTCAACCACTTACTATTCACTTTCGCAGCCAGGATCCCGAAGCGTCCAGCAGAGAAATCAGCGACATCTCTTCTACTTTCTGAGACGGTTTGTTTTGCGATACGAATAGAATGAGAGCGGCCTCGGTCCGAGAAAGCTATGTTAGCCTCGCAGGGTAGCATCCTATTTCAACATTCCTGGACGCGTCACCACGTCAGTCTTCAACAAGCTTTTTGACCACCGTCCCAATTCTAGCGATCTCCAAGGGACCCCCGTTCGAAAAGTACCCGCCGGGTCGAAGTGGGAGATTGATGGTTCTGAACGTTTGGACGAACCTCCCACAGATCGTCGAGTAGCAATCATGCAAGAACTTCTGAGAGACCCGCCCGACATAGAGAGGAGAGGATAAACGCGGAGTCGAGTTCGGTCTAGTAGGAAGATGGCCGTCGTCATGGTCAACGAACAAATTTGCTTCTTCGGGCTTCTATTGCGCCGATGAATGTAAGACGCACGAGGCCCTTGACGACGACCTTGCGTTCCCACCACGACTAACTGCATGCAAGGACGGCGCCAGGATTACCAACCGGTCGGATTCAGCCCAAACAACGACTAGCGTCAACGCCGTACAAGCGACAGACATAGCCGGCCAGCAGGGACTCGGGAGACATTTGCAAAAGTTTGCAACGGGGGGCGATAACGCGCTATCGCAGAGCCCATTCGTGTCATGTCTATCAGTTGTGGAAAGGGTTCTCCGCGGTGTCCAACTGGCAGTCTGACTCGTATTCGTTGCTGGCTCAGCGTGTCTACAGGGACTGGCCAGCTCGGGCGGTCCACGACCAGGGTCCGATTCCTCCGTATTACAGTTGAGGGCCAGCGACTGATTAGCGACGCGACACTCGCATACCTTCCATCGACCTTCCTCTCCGGGAAGTATTGATGCTATTACACCACACTTAGCACCGCACCCGATAATATCTGAGGCTCTGTCTTCAGAGTAGACTTACACTTCTTCAAACTTCTTTTGAGACATCCAACCTCTTCTTTTTGTACGCTTCTTTCTCTTTTCTACCACTCCTTTAGTCACCACGAACGACACATCACAAGATGGCACCAACGAAAGCGGTTGACGATCGCAACGGCGACATCGAAAGCAGGCCTGAAGAAGAGACGTTGTTGTTGCCACACGATTTGCCACTTACAGTCGCCCCGAGCAGGATATACCAGCTTAAGGTCATTGGTCTGGCAATGACCTTTATTCTTATCGTCGAAGTTGGCGCCTATCTCCAGATCCCGCCTTCGTATCAGCTCATGGAAGAAATCATCTGTCGCAAACACTACCCCGACCACATCATGTCGGCAGAGGATGATGATGTTTGTAAGGGCTCTGATGTACAGGGCGAGCTAGCCATGATCAAAGGCTGGCAAAACTCATTCGACTGTGTCCCGTGTGCGTCTCGCTCTCTAAACCTGACTATCAACCCCGGCTAAATTTTCATTTGCAGCATTACTTACTGCGATTCCCTACGGAGTCATTGCAGACAAGTATGGCCGCCGCCCAGTCCTGTCCCTGGCCATGCTGGGTATCACGTTGGAGCTTGCCTGGATGTTGCTTCCCCGTAGGACTTCCAAATGCCTTTTCTGCCAATCAAATTTGCTAATTGACAACAGTACTGTGGCCCAATGTTCTCCCTCTCTGGACTATGTGGTTCGGAGCTGTCTTCCAATTCATAGGTGGAGGCGCAGGCATGATTCAAGCTATGACTTGGACCATGATCTCTGATGTCGTCCCCATTTTCAGCCTGTAAGATTTGTCCACTGCCAATACCAGTCACCCGAAAGCTCATATTCGATAGGACCGCGGTTTACTACAAGATTGGCGCAATTGCGCTAGCGGGAGAACTCGTAGTTGCGCCCCTGAGCGCCTACCTCTTGAGCAAGAACCCATGGCTGCCTCTTAGCGTCGGCATGGTCCTTTTGATCATCGGCACATGCCTGCCGCCCTTCATCCCAGAGACGTTGGACCTCCGCCGCGCTGCCGATCAGGAGGTTGAGCAGACACTCTCGCGATCCGAAGAAGATGCAAGAGACAAGCGCACACTCAAGCAGCAGATCGTCTTCGCCGTGAAGAACGATATGAGTCATGTCTACACCTTTTTGATAAAATCCAAGAGCGTGATTTCCCTCGTGCTCGGTTTTAACCTTACAGTTATTGTAAAGTATGTCAAGATAGACATCATGTCCCAATACGTGCACAACTTATTGGGGTGGTCTTGGGCAAAGGTGAGTAGCTATCGCGCCGTCTCAGTCTCACACACACTTCATGGTCCCGTGGCTGACGATTCCTTTTTACTACGTAGGCAACACTTCTTGGGACCGTCTCAACAGTTACAAACATGGTCATGCTACTCGCCATTCTTCCGGCACTGAGCTGGCTGATCACCAAGCGTACGGGCGTCCATCCTCTGGTCCGGGACCTGTGGCTCACCCGAATGAGCGGTATCCTCCTGGCTATCGGTTGCTTCATGGTCGCCGTTGCATTCGCGCCTTGGTTCTTGATTATCGGTATGCTTGCCCTTGTTCTATCAACTAGCCATCTGCACCGGGCTGGGCCAGGTCCTCAAATACCCAGATTGCTGACCTTTGACATAGCCCTCATCATCTTCTCAATGGGCACCGTTTACACAAATATCTGCCGAGCAATTCTCAACGCCGTCGTTGAGCCGCACACGATTGGCACACTGAACACAGCCATCACCTGGGTAGAGCAGGTGAGCTTGCTCGTTTCAGCGCCGGTGATCTCGAGCTTGTTGAAAGCCGGCAACTCGGCAGGCGGCATCTGGCTTGGTCTGCCGTACATGGCGGCGACTGTCATGGCTATTGGTGGTACTGCGATTGCGTTTACCTATCGTCTGCCTAGAGACAAGATCCGCTAGATATGGATCATGTTGGTATCTGGGAGGGATAGACCTCGATTCAAGGAAGACATAGATACCCGCCAGGACATAGAGAGGTGTATAACCTACATATAAATGCGCTCAATGTGTATACAAAATCCAACAGTCAAAGTTGCAATAGCCAGTGATTTTTGCTCTCATTGAGAATTACCCCTTTTGAAGGAAAGAACCAAAGTTGATATCTTCAGTATTCTCCATGTTGCGACTAAGACCAATCCAGGGCTAAAATAATTTAGATTCTCTTGACTGCCAGACTTACTCATCCCATTGTTACGAGTTGCTCGAAGATGGCAAGATTCGAGGTCATTGATAGACAAAAACCAACACCCAATGAGTATTTACTGACTATTCTAGGTTACCTGCCCGTATTCCCGGCCTTGATCCGCGCCACCCGCCACCGTTATAGGGCTCATCCGATAACGATAAGAGCTCCAAACGCCCGAGCACGACGCTAAGGGATGGCGGGGGTGGGGTCACCGCATGATGTAACGGCGAAGCGAGCCAACGACTTTTTTGTGAGTTGCCGGCGAGGCAAACAGCTGCCTCTGACCATCCAACCACACCTCACATATCACCTGCTTTGCGTCACTCTCTAGGCTACCCTCGCACTTTGACCGAGACATTCTCACAGAGCTTCTTTGGTAACGCGACACAAATCTCACGAACTGTTGTAAACCCTCCTCTCTTCAACAGCAACCTGCACCACATCACCAGACTTTTCTCCCCGCTATCCCCACCCACCAACCCCGCCAATCTGCCCATCATAGGCCGCCGACGCCGCGACAAACACCCCAAGGGCCGGCCCAACCCCAACCGGCCGCGCAAGAAGATGGGTAACGAGGAGTCGACGATGCTAGACGAGAGCGTTCAGCCCAAGACGCTCGATTCGCGCTCGCTTGATGCCATTGCCGATTACATCAAATCCGGCGATGTCAAGAAGATTGCCGTCATGACCGGCGCCGGCATCTCCACAGCCGCTGGCAGTATGCACTCCTCCCTTTGACGCTACTTGAATATCCAGACTACTATTGAATACTGTGAGTAGTCTAACAAACCATCCTCTAGTTCCCGACTTCAGATCCCCCGGCACCGGCCTCTACGCCAACTTAGCCCGTCTCAACCTCCCCTACGCCGAAGCCGTCTTCGACATCTCCTACTTCCGCAAGCACCCCGAGCCCTTCTACTACCTCGCCAAGGAGCTCTACCCCGGCAAATTCCACCCCACCGTCTCCCACGCCTTCATTGCCCTGCTCGCGAGAAAGGGCCTCTTGCAGATGAACTTTACACAAAACATCGACTGCCTCGAGAGACGCGCCGGCGTACCGGACGACAAGATCATCGAGGCGCACGGGAGCTTCGCCACCCAGCGCTGCATTGAATGCAAGGACACATTCCCCGCCGACCGGATGGAAAAGCACGTCCAGGACGAGCATGTGCCCAAGTGCGATTCCTGCGGCGGTCTCGTGAAGCCGGACATCGTGTTCTTCGGGGAGGCCTTGCCGGAGACGTTCCGTGACAATACGCATCTGCCTGCGATGGCTGATCTCATTATTGTCATGGGTACCAGTTTGTCGGTCTATCCCTTTGCTGGGCTAGCCGAGGCCTCGCGGTCTGGCGTGCCGCGGTTGTTGCTCAACAGAGAACGTGTGGGACAGATGGGTCGTAGGGCGGATGACGTTGTTGAGTTGGGGACGTGTGATGCTGGGGTTCGTAAGCTTGCTACCCTGCTTGGCTGGGGCGGTGAGCTGGAGGCGCTCTGGCGCGGTATCGTGGGCAAGAAGGAGGCTGAGAGACAGCTTGCATCGGCTGCTGGCGAAGGAGAGGAGGATCTGGAGGAGGAGATCCGGAGGGTCACTGAAGGCGTTGACACGGCGCTCAAGCTCGACGACAAGGAAGAGGAAGAAGAAGACGAAGAACCCGCCGCGAAATCTACCAAGGAGGAAGAAGAAGTCGGCTTCCCTCTACGGCAAGACGGCGGAAGCGACACCGAGGACGCGAAAAAGAGTATTCCCGAGGGCGTCGTCCAGAGAATGTCCAAGGCAATCCAGGGACAAGGCGGGGAGATTGGCACAGACATCAAGGACGATCGCGGCCGCGAGGGGAGGTTCATCAATGGATCTGAAGGCGCACCGCAGGACGCCAAGGACTTCCGGATCGAGGCCAAGAAGAAGATTCAGCTTGCGGCGCAGGGGGCCGCCACCCCTCTCGACGAGGTTGCGATCATTTTCGACTCTAACGCGCCTGTTGCTGAGATGAAGCACGAGAAACCGAAGAGCGCTGATTTGCTGAGTGGAGTATCGCGGTATGAGGAGACGTCCGCGCCTGCTGGTAGTGTGGACAAAGAGGCGCCAAGTGTCAAGGCCGAGTCGGCTTCCGCTTCTACAACGCCAGCAACTCCGGTGACTGCAGAGAAAGAGGAGAAGTCATCCTCGGGTGACCCAAAGTTATGATATTACCAACGACACCTACTCTAACTCTTCCTTGAAAATCACGACAACGGCCGCAACCGCACCTTACATGACAGTCAAGTCTTCTATATCTCGCTTATACCCACATCGCGGATTCGCGTTGGTTGCACTCAATGCCTCTTGTATTCAAGAGGTACATAGATATCTATATCTCGTTCCTGCCTTGATTTGCCCATCCACGTGTGTGACAGTTGTGTATACCCCAACTTGTCAAACGACTATAAATCCTGAACATCGGAGGGAGGTGCCTCGCAGAACCATGAGAAAGGGTTCATCAACAGGGATTCGAACAAAAGGTCAGGTTATCAGAGGCTCGAGGACTTTCTGGTTGTTACTTTAACCACCCCATCATACACCTCGGCCACCTTCCCGGACCTTTATGAATGAACTTGAGATTCTCAGGCCTAAGCACCTTTCTCCCCCTTGCTCTAGGGAGTATTCGAGACCTCTAGAAGACCTTTAGATGAGATGGTGGAGCATCATCCAGCTTGGCTAAGCAAGGACAACACAACGGGCGGTTAATCGAGTAGCTAATCAAGTTTCGACTACTTATAGATGATTTCTGAGGCCTTGATTACTTCCATGAACATCTCGGTCTCTGCAAAGTTCCCACAACGTCTGCTTATCGCCTGGGCCAAGATCCTTCCAAAAAAACCTGACGTTTCATCACACTCATTCCGACGCCCACTCTCACCGTGGAAGGGCGAGCCCAAGCATCCAGTCTGTGACGCAACACCACTACCTAGAAACAACCCCCAGTAATGTTAAAACGGGTACAGAACCTCATCAAGTCTCAATATCCTCCATCGGCACCTCCTCCCGCTCCTTCAAACACGGCGTCTCAGCCCACATCCCGCTCCAGCACCGGAACCAGCCGTGCCCGCACCTATGAAGCGTGATTTTGGGCAGGAGCCGTAGGCACCGTATGTCCTGGTGCATGAAAAGGAAGTGCCCGCGATTCGTCTCGTAGTTAAGGCACTGCGATATCAAGAGCTTTCGGGAATGGGAGTTGCGGCAGCCGTGGTTGCCGTTGACGGATTGCCGACCGCCGTTGAAGTGGAAGAAGCTGTCGACGCGTTCACAGGATTTGGGGTCCCAGGAGTGACAGCGGGTGTTGACTACGATGTAGTCGGCGGTGCAGGTTGTGAGGAGGATGGTCGAAATTAGGGCTAGAGTGAGGCGCATTGTGGTGTTTTTCGTTCTCCGTGCTTCACGGATTCTCCTCTGCTTGGTGTCTCGGAGGGTGGTGCCCCTATCCTGATTTTTACGAGTCTGTTGGGTTTCAAAGTTTGTAGTCTTTAGGAGATCGGGATGCTTTGCCTACTTTAATGAAAGTTGAAGATGGAGTCTTCTCATGGACGGCAAGACTTCATCGACGGTACATTATCTGAGGAAGACGCGGTGTTGCTCCGAAGATTTCCCACTGTTCTTTTCAGCATCTTGTGCGTAGTCTGCGTCCAGCAGTGCGCTTATGTACTGGCTCACCTTTTGGACCCGTTCGATACTTTTATTTGATGTCGAGAGGCGTAAGTGCAGTGTTGCAGATGATATCAACGCCTCCAACCGTTGCGGTATGTAAATAGGTTATGGCGGCGCCAAATCGGGCAATGAGGACCCGGGTGACCAGGCTATCAGTCTTTTTTTCACATTATGTGCCTCCCATGGAACGGGCAGGGCCGATGGGCTAGTATCATGTTGCAGCGGGTGAACAATGCTCAAGGTCGTCCTCCCACTGCTGATGAAGTTGATCTTGAAAGCACCGTTCTGGTCTAACACGACACACTCTAAGGAAATAGCTTTCTATCCAATGCTGACGTGTGGTTTATTATCTAATTCTACAACAGACAAATGGAAGAGGAGATGGATAAGAAGTAGATAGTGTTGTGATCAAAGAAAAACACGCCGTCTAGTGAAGGTTCTGCGCCATGTAGCACCCTAAGTTCAATCCCCCGCGTCTTTCTTGTTTTCATCACCGGAAACTTGAAATCTTCTCCATCACCCGCGAGAGCAGCATCGATCCACCAACACCGTTCTCCTGGCGAAGAACGCGCGCTACCATGAAAGCAGTCAAGGCAGCGACAGGGATCGTAGCGATGACGCTCGCCTTGCTTAGAGTCATAGCCTTCTCCTCCACAGTCTTCTCCTCGCTATAGGGCCACTCGTGGCCCGAAGAAGGGGGCTTCACACCCTTCAAACTCAGGCCACCGGCAATTTGGTCGCTGTAGAAGTCGAGCCACTTGGCGAGCGGCATGAGGGGCGCAATGTACTGGTGCACCAGGCGGCCCTTCCAGGTATTCCAGGCCGACATACGCATGGCCTCCTGGCACTGCTCGACCATGAACGCCAGCCTCTCCACGCGCTGCTCCTCAACGGCGACGAACGCCTTTGAAAGGGTGGGCAGCTTCCACGTTGCCGCAGAAGAAGCACCCTTGCCGATAATCCTCTGTTCCTGGAGGGCGTTGACCAGCGAGGCGCAGGACTCGATGCAACTGTTGCCACCCTGGCCGACAAGCGGGTTAAACTTGTGCGCCGCGTCACCGAGGATGACGATGCGCCCGTAATGCCACCGCCTCATCACAAAATGCGGGAGGGCCGTGACGCCGCTGTACTCGAGGTTCTTCACCACCTCGCGGAACCGTAGACCGTTGTCAGCGACGAGGGCGTCGACGCTGCGGTCGAACTCGCGCTGCTTGTCCTCGTCCGTGAACCGCGGGATCTCGTCGATCGGGTACGAGCGCTGGCCCTCGGGCAGCGTCCAGAACCAAAAGACAAAGACCTCGCCGCCGGGGCCGCCCATGCAGCCGGCCACAGTGCCCTTGCCGCTAGCGGCAACTACCTGGCCCGGGGCCACGCCGGCCATGGGCTTGGCGGTGCCGAAGATACAGGCGTGCTCGCAGGAGATGTTTTGTCTGTCGCGGGCCGGGATGGCGCTGGAGTCGTCGTTGGCGTCTGCGTTCCTCCACATTTCCTGTCTGATTGTGCTGCGTACACCGTCTGCGCCGACCACCATTTGTCCCTCAAAGACGGAGCCGTCTTTGGTATAGACCAGGGCGCTGTCCTTAAGATTCTCCACTCTTTGGACTTTCTGGTTGAGGAAGATCCTGTTCTTGTCCTTCAAGTGCTCGTACAACACGTTCAAAAGTTGGAAACGCTCCATGAAGATGCTGGGGTAGCCGTGTCGTTTGGTGAGGAGGCTTCTTGATTTGCGGGTCATGATGCGCTTGCCTGTTGTGCTGTTCCTGACAATCTGCTCTTCGACGGGCTGGCCTCTGGCGAGGATGTCATCGTAGCATCCGAGTTGATCGAGAATTCGGAGGCCGTTGGGAAACAGGCCGATGCTAGCTCCGACGTTGGGTGTAACTGTGCCGTAAGCCTCAAGGAGCACATAGTCGACTCCGAGGTTTTGTAGCATCAACGCCAATGTCAGGCCCGTGATGCCACCGCCGACGATGATGACTTGGCGCTTTTCGTCTTGGACCGCCATGGCGTTGATATGGAGCGAACTAACAATTCGCTGTAAGTGTTCGAAAGAATCTAGTTTGTTTGATGTTGCTGATATTGATGACCAAACTGGAGTAGTGAAGGGCGACCGAAGCTCTTATATCTCGGGTATCTGCCAAGCTGCGAGATCTGCGATGCTATCGTGAGCCGGACTTTAGAGTCGTGCAGTCCGTCGTCGTACCGCAACACTTCAGAAAGGGTATCATTGAAGCGGGAAGTTCATGGGCCCCGGAAATGAATCTTCCCTGGGCTTGTAGGCCGGCGGGAGCGATGCCACGCACCCAGGCCCACCAAGCGCTTACCATGAACTCCATAGCAGCTGCCGGGTTCGCCACATATTGATCCGTGACATCGACGTTATCTGATTCATGTAGCAGGGATAACAGCACAGGACACCATGGGCCGTTTTATCACCAGTTCCACTTGTTTCGATGAAAACCAGCACGCATTTTGTCGCATCCGGATACAACCCACCTATAGAACGTACGCAGGGCCTTCGGGTTGCGGACTGCGGACTGCGAACGTGGCATACCGGCGATATCGCCGTGGGATGTGTGGCCCGAACCTTAGGAGGCCGAGCTTTTCGTCATCGGTCGGCACTGAGAGCCCCGTATTTTACAGTTCAAGGGCCGTCTACGGTCCGCTCTTAACCTATCCTACATGCCTGAACGATGTGGGTTTCGCCCGTGTGAGGCGGGAAATATCCGTGATCAAGGCAGGGTGAACGTTTCCCCTGAGAATGAGATGCGCGTCTTTCAAACTTAAACCATGCAGGTTTGCCTCGGACTTAGCGTCCTAGACAAAAATCCGAAAAGCAGTTAAAACTCTCCGAGGACAAGCGCATTCCCACTTTGGTCAGTCTTTTTGCTGTTGCCTTTCTATCACTAACCTACAGCAACACATGTACATTTCACGTATTTCGAACCGAAATTCAATGGTCCCGCGGCAATTCTTCAGTCAACAGGCCCTTGGTGTAGGTAATTATCCCATTCCAGCAGAGACTCACGAGTCCCTGTCTACTTCATGAGACAGATGCAAGTCTGCCACTTCCGCCCACATTATGGGAGAAAAGCTGCCTCGAGATATCCCAAGATAGTATCGCTGCCGAAACTCAAAGCAATGCATACGTATAGCTTTCACCGAGCCTCGACGATGTATTGGCGTGAGTCTCAAACTCTGATCCGTCTTGTCAACCGTGTCGCAGACCAATCTTCACAGGAAACCCATCTGCAGGATGTGCTCCGCCTCCACCCTTGTGTGCTTGATACGCCCTATTGCCATTGACGCTGCGAATACCGGATTTTGGATAAAGCTTATCCCAGTCTTCATATGCAGGCTTGATGACGAACTCCCGCACAGTCATAACCAACGCTACTCTCAACTCGATCATTGCTAATGTCTGTCCGATACAATTCCGTGGACCCCACTCAAAAGGCCGCCAGGCGCCCTTATGGGGATACAATGGATCTCCCGGGCCAACAAGCCAGCGCTCAGGGATGCAAGCATCGGGATCTTTCCAGTATTTGGGGTTGTGATGTATGGCCTGAACAAGAGTCCAGACGTGGCAACCTTTTGTGGGGAGTACGCGACCATCCGCGTCGACTATCTGGACGTCGGGACGTCCTTGGCGCATAGCACCAGCAGGAGCGAATATGCGCAGCACCTCTTTGATGAACGCGACGGTGTAAGGTATCTGGTTGAGAAGTTGCGGGTCTCTGTGGACTTTATCCTGAACCTGTGACGGGTCGGTTCCGAAGACTTTGTTGTGTTCAGCTATGATAAGAGATACAATCTCCGGATTCCGAGAGAGGAGATAGTAGCAGTACAAAAGGGTGCTGCTAGTCGTATCATGACCTGCGAACAGGAAGAGCCGTACCTGAGGTGTGATGATGTGTTTGATCTTCCAGGTGGTATCGGCGTCCTCTCCCTTGTCTAGGCCCTCCTCGTCCAAGTCCTTAAGATACTCGTCGATGAATAGTGAAGCTATCGACTTCGAGCGCGTTGTGTCGTTTGAATGGGACAAGTTTGCAGAACGGTCCGCAAGTATTTGGTCGATCTCTACAGATAAATACTGATCCAGCTTCTTCCCGTTGAGCCACAGGACGAGCGGACGGATGTTGAGATACCTTTCTACTGGATTTAGTGGTTCACGGAAGGACGTCCATTCTATCTGTTTTCGAAGAGCTGCTGCCAAAGGGTGGTCCCGAGTCTGATGACCAAGTCGAGTATTCCTATCATCGCATAGGTAAGTCAGCATGCTGCACAGAAAGTCGTAAGCTCAGATAAAAGGTTACGATACTTACAGCACAACGGACCCTATGATATCAAAGGTCATCCTCAAAGTCAGATCTTCAAGTAGGAACACTTGGCTCTGTCCAGTCTCGCATTTCGCCAGGAGCTTCTGCCGGTAAAGGGCCACTTCATCTGCGATGACAGGCGCCAAACCCATCATGTACCCGGCACTGAACCCCGGGTTGAACAAGCGTCGCCAATGCTTCCACTCATCTCCTTTCATGGTCAACAAGCTCTTCCCGCCAGTCACCTTCTCGATAGGGTCGATGATGTCGACTCCTTTACTGAGTGCCCAGCTATCGAGCTGAGACGCTGCGTCGGCGTCTGCAAGGACCATCATAGTGCCGCCGAAAGGCCAAAGGCTCAGATAGAAGATACCGTTTGGGTAGTCTTCTGATATCTTCCACATGATGTTGTGGATGATACTGTCTGACGGTAGAGTTTCCATGATCTTCTTTATGAGCGGAAAGTGCCCGCCCAGGGAAGAATAATCCGGTGTTGGCTACAGCGATCGTTAACACGGATGATTTGTGGTAGAAATTGGGGGAGTTTTACCAATCCCGCTTTTTGCATTCGCCATATCGTCTGACGTGCAGCATAGAACTTCGAAAAGAAGTAGATAAGCGCCGCGATGCATGATGTAATTGCTATGGACCAGAGTCCCCTGACCATGTCCAATGGCAACACCATTTCGTCGAATTCTCGAGTCTCATAGACCAACTGAGAGGCTGGTGATGAGGCTGAAAAAGCCGTACGTCTTGTATGGGCTGGAGACTAGGAATTTGGAAGAAAGTCAGTCATCCCTCTACGGAGAGCTCTTGTCGGTGGTTTCCAAGGCCATGATACGTAAGGCTGAAAATGAAAGAGGTTGGGCTCCTCGTTTTCGTGGAACATGAGGTGAGACAGCCCGTGGTACTGTTGAACTTTGATGTCAGCAGAACGCCCATTTGGGGGAAGCGTCATCGCTAGCAGTTCAACGAATCAACGTCCCCATATCCTCCCTTGCTGAAAACTCTATCCCGTCTTGTGATGCAGATAACGAGGTAGGCATATGAGCAGACTTCGAAAACCTCGTGGCCGACTTGTAATTGCCTACCTGAGATACTTACCTTACTGCTTTCTTGCTTTCTCTCTTCAGCACCAGAGTTCAATCGGAATACAACTTTCCTTATGGCATTTAAGAACTGTCACAGATTGACCACTTACAAGCTTTCACCTTAGAAGGCTCCGTAAGCAGAAGTACCTCGAGTTCTGGGAGGAGAACCCTTCAGACTATATACATTTGCATGCACTGATGTGGTCTTAAGATTATCACGACATGCGTAAGCGTGTATTACCTTAGTCGTTGCCGCATGTCTTCAAGGCCGACCTTCACCTTGGACTAAAAGATATTGGCGGCGCGTCGAATTTAGCTATATTACTACCAGAACTTTTATCGACAAGGCTATTCAAATAATTTGATGCAACTACTGGAATCATGAGCGCATCAAGTGGCTGATGAAATAGAGTGTCAGTTAGCACATTAGAATCCTGTCCCTGTCCTTGGGTACTGTTTACAACTACTATTGCACCTTGTATCATTTTCTCTCGGCATCTCTTGAGCCTTCATATTTCATTGATATATCACTTTATGTAAGTGACAGATGTTATGATGGCGATAGGAACCAGGGCCAAAGAGAGGTGAGGCACTATATCTAGCGTCAAATCCTTCTCGCTAACACAGGCGCCCTTTTTTGCTGCGATGGTGTTCATGTTCTTGAGCCCCTCAAGGGCTTGAAATCCATTACTGTTCAAGAGTTCAAGGCAAGATTTCTTATGCAACTACAAATTGTCCCGCTCATGTTGAGGCGTGGCGTGATGGCAAATACGTCTTCGAATCTCCTCAAAGTAGCTATTATCGTTTTGTAGTCTTAAAGCGAAACAGCTAAGTTATAGGATCTCACAAAAACTCTCGAAGACGCTGGCCTACACCAGCGAAATCCTCAAAGACATGCCAGTGGCCTACGTTTGGGAGCACAGTCTTGCGAGAACCATTTATTCTCTGCACGTAATCTTTGACCACCGCTGGGGACGATATGGAGTCCTCTTCTCCCGTTACCAGCAGAGTCTCCACATCAAGCCCTTCGAGCCCTTGGAGGTCAATGGCCTCATTCGAAGCAAAAGCTGAGCATGCCTTGGCGTAACCTTCAGGGTTTTGACCGGCGAGACTGAGCTGCACAGCAGCCACCGCCAAAGGGTTGTTTCTCTTGGTATGACCTGAGACTTGGGTCGCGACTACGTTGTCGATAATTTCGGACAAGCCCCGAGTTCTTGCGAGAGCCGCAGTTCTGATTAATTTCTCCTTCTCCGAGGAAGGTAAAGGCAAGGGAGGTGGCCCCAAGAGGACCAATTTTTTGACGCGTCCGGGATGCGCGAGGGCATAATTAATGGCGATCAGGCATCCGAAAGAGTGAGCAACCAGAGTTGCAGGTGAAGTGCCTGAATTCACCTCGGCTAGACTGAAAACTTCCGAAAGATCTTGTGAAAGGAAGTCGGTCGTGATGGTGTCCAGAGGGTGCGTTGGTGTAAGGCCATGTCCTGCAAAGTCATACACGTGTACCGAGGCGGAGTCTCCGAGTTCAAGAGCAGTTATCAATGGCAGCCAGTAGTCTTTGGTGCCTCCAAGACCATGGACAAAAATGATGTGGTCTTTTCCCACACCAAAACGCTGGTAACCTGCCCCGAAGCGACCGACGTTCTTGTTCAGGCCGAACTGAGCTTGCTTTGACTTCTCGCTGTTTTCAAGGCGAAATAGCTCGGTGGACTGTGCCTGGACTTTGACTTCAGTGGGATTCATCTGCGAGTGCTCGGCAACTCTATTTCTCAGGGTACCAAGGCCAGAGATGGTGACAGCGAGGTCATCGCCAGGTTTCAAAAAGACCGGAGGAGCCTTGCCAATACCAACACCGGCAGGCTTCAGTCGCACGTAATTAGCATCATTTGACCAACATATCACAGGTAGTCTGAGAGCGGAGACTTACAGTGCCCGTAGCGATAACATCACCTGGCTGGAGGGTCTGGCCCGCAGACAGCGTGCTGATAAGATGAGGGATGGAAAAGATCAGATCCTTGGCCGTGGCATCTTGTCGAAGTTCTCCATTGACATGGGTCTGCAAACGCAAGGACCGACCCCAATCCGGTAGGTCCTCCTTCCGTACAGCAATAGGGCCCTAGCCAGGAGGCATCAGCTTGAATTCAAACTTATAAGTTGAGTGAAACGCATACCATGGGGCAGAAAGTGTCTGCAGATTTTCCAATGTAGAACTGCTTGTGGTCTCTTTGTCGTTCCCTAGCAGTAACGTCGTTGATAATGGTGTATCCCCATACGTATTTCCAAGCCTTGTTCTCACTAATCTTGTACCCTGGTTTACCAATGATTACACCAATTTCGCCTTCGTAATCGGCGCTCTCGGTGAATCCCTTGTGGATGTGTAGTTCATCTCCATGGGCTATAATTGAGGTTGCACGCTTCGTGAAAATTACAGGATGACTTGGCAAGTCCACCTTGTCAGAGCTATCGTAGCCTGAGCTGTTGAATTCCTTCGCATGCTCCATGTAGTTCTTGCCAACAGCGAGGACATCCCGCCCTGAGATAGGAGGCAATAGCTTCACATCCTGCATGCGTAAGACGGGACCAGAAGCTTTGTATACGTGTCCGCCCGCCACGATGACCTGATACAAGTTCTCAACAGGTGTACCAGAGTCGAAGCTGAGGGGCTGAATACTATGCGATTTTGTGTCGAGGTGTCCAATCTGGGGGGAAATGACACCTTGCTGCTGAAAAGCAACAAAGTTGATTGGGTTTTCGATATCCGTCGCCATGGCTGTGAGTTCCTTTGTTCTGAGACTCTGTTAAAGTTTCGTCGAGGTTGCGAAGCAGCAACTAGGATTTACCGTAATGCGGATGTGTTGTAACAAAGATAAGGGCTCAAGTCGATGATACCATTTCCCGCGAATCTTGTCATGTTCTGTGACCCACCCAGCAAGTCTTGGCCCACTATTACATGGTTGGGGAGCGTTGCATCAACAGTGAGTTGGAGAGTTCGACAACTAGAGTTGACAACTTTGCTACCGCAACTAAGCACTCTAGATTTCGCGTTCGCTCGCCTTCTTGTCTTTCAGTAACCGCGATTGCGCAGTGGCGGCAGATTGTCCTTCACTTTCTCGTAGAGTGAAACTCCATGATAATCGTATTAATCCATCATGTGGAACTCTGACTTTACAAGGCCGGCTGCCACGTTTGTCGTTGCGTTATGAATTGGGTACCAGAGTCCCGACCTTGTATTCTGCTATTCAGAAATGTGGTTGAAAGACAACTACGTGATTGAAAGAGTATTTTGCCAAGATGCAGAAGACACTCAGAGGCCGTGAACTTACCCCCGCAAGTAGTCAACATAAGGTCAAAGTGGGCTCAGGAGCTGAAATCTTGTTCCTCGCCTATTGCACCTCTCCAAGATTTGAATGAACGACTTGAGGAGTTGTTTCATCGGACCCTCCGAGCCTATTTCCCTAGGTGGCGTCGCTTTTTCCAAGTTTCGTTGGTGATTATGTCGATCTCGGTGTCTATGTTCGGCATCCAATGGCCACCAATATCGGCGTCTGAGTCGGTGTCTGGCATCGGTGTTCGCTGCAGTCGATTATGAGAGCCCGGGCGTCCCTTCGCTCTTCGCGAAGACCGATTACTTCGCGCTATGCCGGAGTTAAACAATCAAAGGTCCATATGAAGGTGTTTCAACGTGGGGTCAACGAATTCTGATTGTACCTGACAATAAGCGCGATCTCTCCATTTCTTTTTGCCGCTAAATTGGTCAACGTTATTGGCTTTCGTGACCAAGCATTTTCATCTGTAACTATAAAAGGCTTATTAATCCGTAGTGTTCGCACGCCTGGCTCAAACACATCAGGAGGCGGTCCTGTACTCTTGATCAGCTTTTCGACCTTCGGGCTTACACTTCTCACCTCAAGCGTCAGCAATTCAAGCTTCGATCAGCCAACACCACCGTCACAATCATGGAGCATAACAACTCATTCGTTCTCAAAGATGTCAAAATATTCACTGGACACGAAATGATCGACAAGGGCTATGTGTATGTAAAGAATGGAATCATTACCCAAGTTGGTATCGGTGGCTTTGCCGGAGATACCAAGGACGGGTTACTGGTCATTTCGCGGCCTGGTGATACGGTGATTCCCGGACTGATCGATGCTCATATCCATGCACTTGGCGGAGATATCAACAGCATCGAGCAGTCCTTGAGATTTGGTGTCACTACGGTTTGCGATATGCACAACGAGCCAAGCGAGAACGCCAAACTGAAGGACGTGAGTTCGAGACCTAATTTCCCTTGACCAAAGGATCTCAGGAATGTTCTGACCATCCAATAGTTGGCCAATCTCTCGGAGAGCAAGTCGACCTATGCAGACTTCAAATGCGCCGGCTTGGGCGCTGTGATCGAAGGCGGATGGCCTATCCCTGTGATCAGAAGGGTATTCGCCGACAACCCGTGCGGAGATCACATCGTCGACCAAATTGTCTCGACGTGGCCAATATTGTACAAACCAGAAGATGCGGAGCCCTTCGTCAAGCAACAGGTTGAAGAGAACGGAGCATCTTACATCAAGATGTTCCACGAGATTGGCGACACTCTAGGCATGGATCTTCCGCGCCCTCCGATGGATATCCAGAAATCCGTCGTCGCTGCCGCGCACAAATACGGTGTTGTAACCACAGGCCACGCATTCAGCTACGCTGGTGCCATGGACCTCCTCCGCGCCGGTGCTGACGGATTGAGCCACATGTTCCTTGATAAGCCACCTAGCGATGACTATGTCCAGATCATGTTGGACAACAAAGCGCACTGTAATCCGACTCTTGGACAGTGTGCCTCGCAGACGGCAGAAGGCCAAGACTTCCAAAAATCGTTCTTTGAGGACCCATTTGCCCAAAGAATGCTCATCCGCAAGACAGCCGGAGAACCTATGGGGATGGCAGCGAAGCAGAAGCCCACGTCCTCTGTGCTGAATGCATATGCCAACACCAAGGCTTTGTATGAAGCGGGGGTTCCTCTCGTTCTGGGAACTGATGCTGCTGGTGGAAGCGTCGGTCTACCTTACGGCCTTGGCATGCACATGGAGATGCGGGTGCTTGTTAAAGAGGTTGGCATGTCACCATTGGATGTCCTCAAGTCTGCCACATCGATTACTGCAGAACGTTTGAAATTCCCAGATCGTGGAAGGGTCGAGAGCGGGAGAAAGGCAGATTTGGTGTTGGTTGAGGGCGATGTCCTTGAAGTGCTGTCCCTGGGTGATGGTAAATGTCTTCCCATCAAGGCAGTATGGAGAGAGGGGTTACTCTCATCGAGTTTCACTCTATGAGGCTCCCTGTCTTTCAGGTCAAAGAGAAAGGAATCGGGTTGGCAATATCGGTCATGGAAATTCAGCCATAAGATAGCGCAGGGACTGCGCGGGACGCAAGAGTTGACACATGGAACATCATCTTCTGTGATATATACCTCTGATCAGAAACTGAGAATCGACCATTAGCATTTTGAGTATCCATGATAATTCAATAGATAGCGATCGAGAAAATTGTCCAATCGATCAAATCGCGCATTTTCAGCCGGCCCTTGGGTAAGGACCTCCAAACTTGGCTCTTGGTGCAGGATTGTGAAGGTTTTGAACCTGGCGCATCTGCAGTTGATTTATCGGTTGTTTCACAGCATATCAGTCTGTCGTTTGACAGTTTGACTTAAACTGGGACGACAAGAGTTCAGTGTGGATAATCGTCGCTATCACTAATACAACGTTATGAGACAAGAGATGAGTCTATACATAGAGAAATTCGAGGAACGAACCTCTTGGCGTTGGCTGCAAGTTTCTGAGCTTCCCTAGTACTACCTACCTACTTTAGCGTATTGTCGGGCATAACAAATCAAGTATTGTGGGACAGTTGGGTCTCGGGGAGACAAATGGGTTAACGGAACGATGTGCCACCCAAGCCGCATTCACGTCCAAATCCTTGTTATCACTGCTATTCGCACTATTGTCGCTGGTGCTGCTTTTCTTTTGAAGGAAGTTGCGATAAGACAGAGAGTAGTGATGGGAAAGGTGGTAGAAAGGTGGTAATGATGGAAAAGCTGGTGATGGTGGGTGGACAGGGGCACTTGGAAGGGTGCCGCTAGGCGCCACAGGGGCTGACGCGATGGGCACCGTTTCGGCCTCCGCGGAAAGGGCTGGCAGACCGTTTCTCAACAACACCTCGTCCTGAGTTCACCCATACTCTGTCCATTCTCGGCGAATCAACTCAGTCCCATCGATGCGTACCGACGCTCCTTCTGTCTAAGTCACGTATTGAAACCCCAAATAAGAACAATCGAGGTTGTAGCAGAGCCGTCACAGTACCGCCCATACCAATGCCATGCGGGCAACTTGATCAGCGCCGTGCTGGACACCGCTGCGCCTCTTGCAAGAGGTTACATGCAAAGGTTTGAGCTCCTCCTAAAACCAAAACCAAGTGAGCAAAACTAATCTCTGCCAGTGTAACGGTGGCCGGCCGTGTTCTAATTGCGTAGCTCGCGGCCTGAAGTGCGCCTCAACGGAATCGTCCGCAGGCTTTCAGTTCGTCCGGCAGCAAGCCTCTTCAGTCCCTCGAGCGCTGGTGCAAGACTCTTGGAAATACATCAGCACATACTTCCAGTCCGTTGGATGCTTGACTCAGGCGTCCGTAATGCGGAGTGCCAGTGTGACAGAACTCTCCCATAGTGATGAGAACGTCAGTCGCATGTTGTCAATTATGGGTGGTCTCTACGCCTGTCAGAACCCTCACGTACTGCGAGTAAGCCCGAAAGAAAGAAAGGCACTGTTGGGTACATGGGTAAAACAAAAGACTTTGATGGCGACAGAGTTGAAGAAGCCCGACTCATCGTCCTTCAGCTCGGTCCTACTAAGCACCCTCCTATTGGCAGTAATCGAGGTGTGCCTCCAAGTACCTACCCTTTTGTGTGCAATTTTAGGCTAATAGTAGATGTACAAAGCTGGTCCTTTGTGCCGAAGATGGGGCGTTCCAGAAATGGCTGCAAAGAATCTCGGACTACATTGCACAACATCTAAGGGCAAAAAGCTATGCAGGCTTGACCCAGTTTGAAAGAAGTTTGATCCGATTTTTTAATTTTCTCAACACGCTCTCGGCTATTGCCCTTAACTTGGAGCCATCAGAACGTCTGGTGGAGTTGGAAATTTCATCGTCACGTCCAATCGCCCCTGGAACCATCTCAGACGAAGACAAAATAGACGATATGATCTCATCCCTCAATCAGTGGGCTAGAGTGCAGTCAAGGTAAGCTTCTTGAATCGTCGTCGTTCCAGGGTTTGCAACAGATAGAGAACAGAGTTACTGACAATACGAACTTCAGGATGGTTGAGTGGGCCCTCAAGTCGGAGAAGAGAACCCCGAAATTCCAGTCTGAGAAAGAAAACTACCGGGAAGCCATAGACCTCAAGGTACAGGGCCTCGACATCATCTGCGAGGCATCGGCTTTACAGGCTCGTGTCATAAATGATCTCCTTCAACTTTCAGAAGAGCCCGATAACCAGGTCTCCATATGCATCACTCCTTACTACCATTGGACTCTCACTGGCTTATCTCACCGGTTGTATGACGAAGCCTGGAAATCACTCATGTGCGAGCTACCGGTTATGCCGGCTGAAGCACTTCATCAGCAAGCGCTAGTTACGCTAAGCTGCGTTGAAACGCTTGCCCGTCAGTCCGGTTTTGATGTCGCGCTCTACCTGCCTTTCGCCGACTTCATAGGAAGAGAGATGGAAACCCCGACGGAGCAGACGCGGATACTTGCGTTCCTAGAAATCGTCAGATGTCGCGGCTTTGGACTGGCGAATGAGTACAGGAAAGGCTTGCTGGAGACTTGGGGAACTGCCGCACCAGATGAAGTTTCTCAACATTTGTTGATCTGTGATTCGAATCGTGGAGGACCCGGAAGCTAGGTTGACAACAACGCGACAAAAGATGTTAAATTTGATGTCTTAAAATATGCAAGTATTGCTAGTAAGATCCAAAATGTCCCGCTTTTTATTCAGAGGCGAGACTGCCTCACTATGAGCAAAAGCCAGAGTGGAATTTTAAATCTCACCGTACTGGCCGTGAGTCTCTCCCTTTCCTTCGGCCGACGGAGCTCGAATTTATGGGTCTGCGGACCAACCGGTAGGACCCACCCGGGTAGAGCCCCACAGTCAGCTAGCGCCGCGAGATTTTGTCCCAAAAAGGCAAGATTGACAAGGATGTCAAATGTCAGACTGAACCCATCACCGCCCTTTAGCGCAGGATATCCACGCGTTTCGAATTGGATGTGAGCCTAATTCACAGTAGCTTTTGTATCTTGTTATTGACTGCTTGGGGAGTCATTCGATTTTTAGTTGCTCAGGGAACTCATATCTTTCATGTAGGCAGATGAAAGTCTTGTTCACGGAATCTGATTGGTAAACCGTAAGGCACTCCACCACATTAACCGGGCGGGCACGATGTTGGCCAAGCTTTGCAGAACCAGAACTGTTGGATTCCACGTAGCCTGCCTGCCAAGTGTTACTTCCGTATCGCAGCTGAGGTGATGGCGACAGGATACGTCGAGAGCAGGTGTGTCTCGTTGTTGACGAGATCCCAATAAGAACCAGAGGATTAGCGGCTAGATTAGATAGCTCAGGCCTTGTCAGGCCATAGGAGGTTGCGACTAGACACATGTAGGAAGTGGGCCACAACGGAGTGTGATAAGCCACGTCCTCACGCGCGCTGTACCTGTGCGAGGCGGACTTGATGTATCGGACACCATATCTGCCCGATTCCTGCGGAACACCGGGGAGCTGGGTCATTGATGACTGAGTAGACTCTAGCTGCCGATTTTTCTAAGTCCCGTCTCTTGGCATAATGTAAGATTTATAAAACTTTCTCCATGCCGACCTGTCCTGGATGGTGATGCTGTCATTACCGTGCCCATAGTGCCCGACTTTTTTGCAATTTTGTCATCAGCTCCAACACTCACCTAGCCGGTGCATTTCTCAGAATGGCGGACTTACCTGACGGCCTCATCGCTTTCGGGCCTCAAGCCAACTGCACACTCGACATTTGTCCGATAGAATGGAGTATCCTCCGTTACCAGCCTTCTGTTCCCGCCAGCGGCACATTTATCGGGTTCTTCTCTTTAGCCCTGGCTTTACATGCCATCCTGGGGTTCAAGTGGAAGACTTGGGGGTTCACAGCAAGCATGATCGGTGGTTGCGTCTTGGAAATTGTCGGTTACGTAGGGAGACTATTCATCCATGACAACCCATTCGACTTTAATGGTTTTCTTATGCAAATCAGTCAGTGTTCTTTTCCCCTGGGGCATTCTTCTTGAGTTGCCGTGTTCACGTCAACTTTAAAGATCTTGGGGCTAAATTACTCTCAGTCTGCATCACAATAGCTCCAGTCTTCTTTTCTGCCGCCATATACGTTTTACTTTCTCAAACGTAAGAGCTTACAGCATGGTCATTGCCCAAACCTTGAATACTGATTAGACCTTCTCTCAGCATCAACTTTCTCGATCGGTCAATCTCGCGATTTTCACCTCGCCTGTACTACTGGACCTTCATCCCTGTCGACATAGTCTCTTTGATTCTTCAGGCCGTAGGGGGCGCGATGTCCTCCGTCAGCACGACTAAGGAGGCTGCGGATCGAGGCGTCAACATTTCACTCGCTGGACTGGTGCTGCAGGTTGCCTCACTTGGGGCATTCTGCGGACTGTTTGGAGATTACATGATCGCCTACACTCGATCAAAGACTCGCCCGCCAATGAGCAGAAGACTCATGATCTTCCTAAGTTTCTTGAGCCTCGGTACCATGTTGATACTGCTGCGTTGCGTCTACCGTATCGTTGAGTTGCATGAGGGTTATTTCAGTCATTGGTTCCGAGACGAAACACTCTTCATCGCACTAGAGTCGGCGTAGGTAACCCCCTTCTCATCTTCACAGGATTGGACATTGACATTGTGTAGTGTTATGATTTTGGCCATCTTTTCTTTGCTAGTTGGACATCCAGGACTGGTTTTCAATAACAAGGAGAGAGAAAGACTTGACACAACCGGTGCCCTCCATCTAGAGTCGCGCGAGGGCCGTGGTAACAATAATAAACCCGAAATCAACGGGGCCACAGACGGGAGCGACACCTCAGTCGAAGATCCAGCGCCAGAAGCAGCTAGAGAGAAGTCGGCATTGTCCGGAACGGTTTAGAATGCGAAGTTTCGAGATTAGAAGTCATATGCGGGATATAGTGACGGAAATTACTTGGATAAAGGAGAAGCATACAAGTACGACAGGATAGAAGTAATTGTCCATCAACTACAATATGTATCAATCATTAATGGAATCTGAATCACTGCCTGCCCGTAGCACCCCATTTACGATGTCATAAAAGGTTTGCCACGTCGGCAGTCGCGCGGTAGTGCAGGCAACATACACTACCTAGATGACTTGAAAATATACATACTGCAGTACTAGGAGTCTGATCATGCAGAATCATGCCTGCTGGTCTTAATTATGCGACCGCGCGTGAGACTGACCGCACACAATTAAAAGGGCGGTTATTCTCACCTGAAGACTCTCGATTGTTGGTTGCATTGTGGACACTTAGTTTAGTCACGTAGCGCTGTGTTGGTTGAAGACTACGCTCCTGACTGCTATCTATTCTCGATGGTGGGCTGTGTCAAATTGCGGGGGGTCCATCGACTAAAGTTGTCGGCATATATGCTTCCCTCCCATCACTCCTGCTGTTTTCTCAGACCCCCCCCTCGTATTCTTTATTGACGAATTTCCCTACATCCTTTGGTTTCCAAACGCAATCATAATCGTTTTAAGGATGCCTTTGATCACATAAATCCCTTGTGAGCTGGTGTCTTCTATCTTACAAAGTCTAGACGATTTCGAGACTCTAGCCTCAGCCGTTCTTACGTGTCGCTACATTTGTTCATCTTTCAAGAAAAGCCCTGGCATTGAAGCAGCCATTCTACATCGTCAAATAGGATCCGATCTGCTTCCCTTTTTAGTCGTGACGCTCATGATGTTGAGTTTGGTGAAATGAGAATTGACTATTTGTCGATTGGCGAAATAAACCTTCAAACACAGAGATGGGTTAGTAACAGTCGAGATCGAGATGGCCTATCGCGTATCGTCTCAGTGCTGATCAATTAACAAATAGCTAAGTCACGGACTTGGCTCTCTGCATCGGCTGATGTCCGAGGAATCTTACGAAAGTAAGCGAGCGTTACTACAATCGACCTTTGAGGACGACACCTGCTTAAGCGACCTCCCCAAGGCGTTGGGGGATATAATTGAAGAGTTTTCCGACGCTACATTGGAAAAATGAACACGATTAAGCTTGCCATGATGATCCCTATCCGTGAGGATAACTGGGATACAGATAAGGGCCCTTACGCAGCTTGGTATGCCGCCCACACATGCGTTCCGTCAGCCGGATGGATCATGCTTGGCGAGAATGCCTGGTTGCGAAGGCGTGCATATGTGCTCTGGGACTGGGCTCGTATTCAAGAGAGAGATTTACTAAAGATCCTCGCGACCATAAGAGATGAAGACTATAAGCCTTCCCCCAAAGATTTCGAAGAGATGGAAGAGTCCTTCGATCAGACATCAGAGATATATGAAGAGAGGGGTACAGGGTACTGGAGCAAAGATGATACCAGCCGCATAGTCTGGCCAAGTCCATAGCGTGATCTTTATTCGCAACTACCCGGCTCCTCATAGTTCACGTAGCACCCCAATGAACATAATTGCTGAGAAATCGTTCTTTGTTTATGAAGTAACTTATGACCAAGTTTGGTTCTCAACGAACCCTCAACCACGTTTCTTAGGAAAGCCTGGAAGAAGCGTTAATTTGAAGCAACGCCTAAAAAGAAGACGAAAAATGGCACTGCTTTGGACAAACAGCTGCCATGTGGAAAATGAGATAGAAGTCTGGACTCCGTTTACAGTAATACGGACGTGGGTTCGGACCTTGAACCCCACCCCGATCGAGCTTAGTCATGCACCGGCCCTCGGTGAGTTGACCCCAACGTTCACCGAGACAAGAAGCTCTCCAAAAAAGCCTACGAGCTCCATGAAACAACGTCACAGGTCAGCCATTGCAGCCACATGTCTTCTCACGTTAAGCTCTCACGGCTGAATCTACGGCCACTAAGCTCAAGATGCAGCGCGCAAGCTATACGACAGCAGAGACGCTCACACCATGACTTCAATCACTTCGTGCGGCCAGGTATGCGACAGCTCGTCCATCCCAACCTGATTGCGCCACAGCTAACATAAAGACGCAGATGCCTACGAAGCAACGACAGCTGCACCCGAAGCAACCCTTGAGTCGGCGACCGAGTTCAAGCTAGCAGTGAAGGACAATATCGCGACCCAAGGGCTCCCGACAACATGCTCCTCCGCCATCCTCTCCTCCCACAAAAGCCCCTACGAGGCCACCATCGTGCGCCAGCTACGAGAACGAGGCGCCCACGTCGTCGGAAAGACAAACATGGATGAATTCGGCATGGGATCCCATTCGATGAACTCTATTCACGGTCCTGTCCTTAACCCGCTGTCTGTGACGCCTACCTCTGCTGGCGGAAGCTCAGGGGGCAGCGCGGTCGCGGTTCAGACTGGTGAGGCGGACGTTGCGCTGGGGACGGATACGGGCGGGTCGATTCGCCTTCCTGCAGCGTACTGTGGTGTTGTGGGATACAAACCTTCCTACGGCATGCTGTCAAGGTTCGGGGTCGTTCCGTATGCGAACTCCTTGGACACTGTTGGCCTACTTGCTAGGGAGGTTGATGTTATCGAGAATCTGATGTTCAGCACGGGGCTAGATGAGGAACACGATTACCAGGACCCAACGTCCCTATCGAAAAGCTTTCGTAAGAAGCAGCAGGGCCAAGCGGCAGCTGGCCGGTCACGGCTCAGAATCGGCATACCCTTGGAATACAATATCGAGGAATTGGACCCCAAGATCAAGATGGCCTGGTCTGGCGCAGCAGACCTCTTACAAAGCTCAGGCATAGAGGTGGTTCCAGTATCATTGCCGTCCACAAAACACGCTTTATCAGCATACTACGTCATCGCGCCAGCAGAAGCATCTTCCAACCTCGCAAAGTACGACGGCGTCCGCTACGGTACACGCGGCGATGAGAGTGACGGCGCAGGCGAGGTCCTCTACTCCAAGACTCGCGGCCTCGGCTTCGGCGAGGAAGTCAAACGCCGCATCCTCCTCGGCGCCTACAGCTTGAGCTCCGAGGCAATGGACAACTACTTTATCCAAGCGCAGCGGGTGCGCAAGCTCGTCCAGCGAGACTTTGACCGTGTCTTCAGGCTGGAGAACCCCCTCTACGACGAACAGCAATTCGACCTGAGCGATATGAAGGACGACGTTGAACTTCAGGATAAGCTTGGCCCGTCGCAGGTGGACTTCTTATTGTGTCCTACTGCGCCGACGTTTGCACCGCGCATTGAGGATATTAAGCGGCAGACGCCGGTGCAGGTGTACATGAATGATGTCTTTACGGTGCCGGCCAGTCTGGCTGGGCTGCCGGCCATCAGTATTCCTACTAAGATTAAGGCGGGAGATGAAAACGTGGACGGTAGTCGAGGTATAGCGGGGCTCCAGCTGATCGGTCAGTACTGGGACGACAAGCGGTTGCTCGGCGTGGCGAAGGACCTTCTTCGTCAACTGTCTGCTTGAAATTGTAAGCCATCTTCTAGACGGCTAGCAAGAGCAGTTTGTAAGACTACACGTCGCTATGTGAGAAGCGGCGTCCTGGAAAATGTACTGTGCAATAGAATATAATGGAATATACCCTGGGGGACCAATCCGCCCACCCTTTCATCTGATCCTCGACGCCACGAGAGAAGGCTCTATAGGTCAGGTTAATTCCATTCTCGTCACCAGCACAGCATGCGCCCTCTAGGTCGAGGGTCAGGTCAAGCTGTGGCGTGGTAGTGGAATGGTTAATGGTCATCAATTATTCACGCCAACCAGCCTACTCGACGATAGGCTCAGCGCATACCCGAGTTCGAATCTCAGCTTGAGCACCAGAGATGTAGTCCCCAGTTCAGTACCGGGAGGTGAACTCTTTTGCCTTTTGGACCTTTGGATGCTTGGTTATTTTTGTATGATGTACAAGCTGGAGATTCCTCAAGCACCAAAGCCCACCTGCTCTATGCATCCAAATCATGCTTTTGTCTATTGTGTACTCTGCTCGGTAGGAGCAAGAGATTGGGTATCATCTTTTGCTATCGCCATACACTCAAGGAGACCGATCTCTGCTCCTAGACCTCGATCTTGACCTCGATCTTTCCACATCCATTGGCTCCCCAACACCGCTCCTATCCTCCGCCACCTCTCCTTCCGACTCGTCCGCGCCATTCGCTCCCGCATTCTCCCCCTCATTCTCCTCATCGTCATCCAGAAGCTCGTCAATATCACCCAAGGGGCTGATCCTCTCCTCAAGCTCGCCCAAATCCACCAGGTCAACCCTCTTGGGCAACTCCCTAAAACTCGTCGCACACACCCTCGTCTTGGTCAACAAATCATCCACAAAATCATCCATAAACGTCAAACTCGTCCCCTGCCGTCCCTTCCTCCTCAACTTCCTCCGATCCTCCAAAAACGGCTCCAGAAACAAATACACATCCTTGGCCTTCCTCGTCATGCGCACATAGAAACACGCCAGCGCGCGCAGGTACTTGAACTTCTCCCCGCCAAACCCCAAATACGTCTCCAGCACCTCGTCCGACGGCGCGAGCTGCAGCAGCTTGAACGCGAGACACAAGAATGGCGTGGGCTTCTGCGTGACGCCCGAAGTGCCGCCTATAAATGTGACGTGCTCGACGACGCGGTCGACAATGTCGGCTTCATTGACGGCGAAGCACTGCTCTTTGTAAAAGTAGGAGTCGATGATGCGCTCGCGAACGGCCTTTTCCATGATTGTGGCTGGGTTCTCGCCATTGGGGGCTAGGGAAGCTGAGGAGCCGCGTTCGTCGAGGAAGCGCCGCTCGTCGGCGTAGACGAGGTCGGGTTTGCTCATCTTTTCGATTTGTCTGGTTTCGGGTGGGAGGAGTGGGAGGGTTGTCGTTGAGATTCGGCCTGACTGTTTTGCGAATTGATCTTGATGCGGGAAGCTTCAATGATGGCTTGGCTTCAATGGCTGGGGGATTAGTCGCGTTTCGTCGAAGGGTAGCTCTTCGGGTAGTGGGGTGGGCAGTGATGCGACGGGAGCTTTCGCGAGTGACGCAGGTTAAGGTAGAAAAGTTGGGAGGTTTGGCGGAATTGAACTGTGCTTATCGATTGTTGCCGTGCGAACCAAGTAAACAGCCCACTTCCAAGTTCACGCTCACGCCGCGCATCTCTAACGACTGCGACGCTGGCAAAGGTGTGAAAAGCCGACGCCCATCAACAAATCTCTAAATCATCCAAAAAATCATTCAAGTCATTGACCCAAATCTTCTCCAAGCTCCTGAAATCCAACAATAGCCGTTTTTCTGTCATAAAATTCCAGTTGCCATGGTGCTCCTCACCTCCTCCCAAGTCTCCGTTCTCATCTCCTCAGCCATCGGTAACACCCGCCCTCCCCCGTTCCCGCATTCCAGTCCCGCTTCCCCAAGTCAATCATGACAAACGGCTAATATCAGCATGCGTTCCTGCGCGCGAGGCGGCGAGCAGCCGCGTTTGCGTACAAACGCATTTTCCTTGTAATTAACAGTCGTCTCATGTACTGCGGCCCTCTTCCTTAGCGGCTACGTAATCCAACAGCGCACCCTGAGCCAGCTGCGCGAAGCCATCAAGCCCGAATCGCGACCCTCCCCAAAGGCGTCGTACTACGTTCCCGAACACCTAAAGGACGCAGCAGGCAACAAACAGAATGTGCCGCTTTACGGTGCGAACGGGAAGCAGGAGCAGATCATCATCGAGGTGAACCCTACGGTACCCGAGAAGCAACAACAGAAGCAGCAGCAGCAGCAACAGACGAAGAAGCAAAAGGCTGGACAAAAGTCCGCGGGATGGACGTCCGACATGTGGCAAAAGATGACGGGCCCGCCGGAAAAGGAGGACAAGGGCGGGGTCAGCAGGGAAGATCTGGAGAAGATGAACGAGAGGGAGAGGAATATCAACGGGTGGAACGTCAAGGACCAGGCGAACCCGGACCCCGAAGCGTCGAACCAGAAGCCTATTAGCCGGGCCGAGAGGCGGCGGCTAATCAAGGAGGAGCTGAGGCGTTTGTCGGAAAGCGAAGAGAGGGTTTACTACCAGCGACGACTGTGGTAGATACGACGTTGGATGGGATATATGCGGCATAGGAATTGCGTTTCCATGGGAATACATACGGGAACTCTGGCGTTATTGGTTTCTGGGAGGTTGATCATGAGGGATGTTAACGAATTCGATATATATAGGTCGATCATATATACTCATATAGATGGGAGACGTTTAACAGAAGCAAACGAAACGAATGAAAGTGCTGGACCCAATCAACATGAGTTTTGTATTGTTGTGCCGATGAGACTACTCGATAACCATGTGCCGAACGGTCGTTTTCATCAAAGCCAACCCCACCACGGCTCGTGAGCCGGATTCATGCATTCGTCAGCGTTGTAAGAATCATCATCTCTTTGTCCCAATGTACCCTGAACGCCAAACCCCAAAACAATGCGGAATCAAACGCAGTCAACGCCTATTCTTTTCCTTATGCACACGTAGCCTAAGCGTGGCGGTTGGCGGCATCTTCAAACGCCTCTCTCTGCATCCTCTCCAGCTCCTCGAGGGGTATCTGGCTGTTTTGGAACTTGTTTGCCTTCTTCTCACGTCCCTATACAGGTGTCAGCTATCAAATTTCCCATCATACAGGTCACATTGGGGCGTTTGGCATACCTTTTGCACTTCTTTGTGCTCTGCCGCGGCTTCTAGTACGGCCGGGACGTAGTCTGCGAAACCCAGTTGCTCAAGGGCCTTGGTGATGTGGTCGCATGCGATGGTCTTCTTTGCCTCCTTCTCTGAGATCTCGTTGGCTTCCGAGGAGATGAGGGTGATGAACTCGACGCAGCATTCAATAAGCAGGTCACGAGCCTCTTTGGCAAAGGCAACGCCAGCTGAGGGCGGCAGAATCTCGGTGACGATCTTTTGGACGGTGGCTGTGTAGCGTATTAGCTTGAGAACTCTTGAGAAAAGGGTAATCAGAGATGTGCCATGGGAGAGGCATCTATTGGGGGTGGCGTTACATACCCTTGGGCAAGGACAGGTCATCGTTGCCTAGTAAGGTCATGTCAGCATTTCAAGTTCGAGAATCAGGCTGACTGTACACCGAAAGATACCCAGAGGCTTCTATTCGCCGTGCGTTTTGAACAGCATGTTGCCTGCGAGGTGTAATGAGAATGTCACATAATGCAAAGCAAGCTGCGGCATGCGACATCTTTTACATCAAGACCGTCACCAGGATTTGGCCAAGCTTGCAGGGCAGGCACAAGTCGCTTGTGATGTCCAATTGTGAACACCAGGCAGGCACAACGGCAGAGCGAACAGGAAGTCCCGTGGAGAACGCTTGGACGCTGAAGGAAAGATCGATCTAGACTTACCCGCAATATCGTGGTCAGACATGTTTGTAGTGTGAGACGAGAGCGTCGATGAGACTGGGAATGTGGGCAAGATTGGAGAGCGTGGTCGATATCGTGGACTTTTCAGCAAGTATTGTGGTGTTTGCCTTGATAGTAATGCGAAAATGTAGAAAAGATTCTTGTGGTTCTTGACCGTTGACTTATACGGAAATTGGTAGCTGGGTGGTGAAGAGGACGCGGTGGCGGGGTGGACATGCAAATTGATTAGGCTATCTCCGACAGGTTTGTAGGTCTGGCTCGCTCAGTCTCCGACCGTGTGTTTGGTGGGGTCTTTTATGCTCCTTGGGATGCGGGACATCGAGTGCATTTGAACCCCCCGCGCGCCTTCAGAAAGCAGGGGCCACTGAGACACAGAGTGAAGGCTCAGTCACTGCCTGGTCCCGCCCGTGGTGGGGCGCACTTTCCACAGTGAAATTCCATTCAGAGCCAGCGGTAAAGTACGCGCGCCGGCGAAAGATGTCTCCGTGATTCCGCACCGCACGGGCCAACACTCCCCAATCACTCCAAATTTTTCTTAGCCTTAAAAGACGAAATATTCCACAATGGTTCAGCCTCTTCTTCTTTTTCGCATCAGCAAACAGCAGAGCTCAGGAAAAAGCCATGCGCTCCTATGTCAGGGCAGCTGGCGGCTCTGCTGCTTGCTGGGATTGAACTTGGTAGGTCTTTCCTCTACTTTACCCTCCATTTCGATATGATGAACCTTGTTGTCGCCCCAAACTTACGAGGAATAACTCCCCTCATAGTGGTGAATGACCTTCCTGCCAAACGGATATTATCTGATCTATCACCATGAATCTTTTGTTTTTGCTGCAGTTCTAGTCTTGGATCGCGTTGCTAACAAGATTCCCAGACACAGAATATGCACATGCCGCCATCTCAATCGATGCCCTGCTATTCACACGCATGCGCCAGCGACGATGGACAACTCGATACTGGGCGCCTGATTCACACCTCCCTGGATTGGTTGGAGAAGCTGGGTGCCTGATTGAGCTTGTCATTGTGTTGGGACGCGGCGATTTTTGCTCACCGATCCACGCCAACAGATTTCTAGCTCAAGGTAAGCCGCAAATGCGAAATTTTTTCTTTCAACGTCGCCTGCGAAGGCTTGCCAGTGATGATGACACATATTCCATGCTAATCCTGAATAAACTATGTGGAATCAAATATGAGCTTTTCATCTTTCATCTGAGGCATCTTGTTATCAACGATTTTCTATTTACACTTCAAGGGTAAAATAGTTGCTAACAGCCAATTTCTAGTGAACTATCCTACTCTGTGTCATGATACGCCGAAAGCTCTCCGGCTTGCCACTTGAAGTACTTGCCCGAGAGGTCGTGCTGAGGCTCGACGACAAACCGCGCCATGACGTTGCCAGGCTGCTCAGGCTTGAACAGCTCTCCCTTGTCAAAAGCAGACACGAAGGAGGTGTGGTCCTTGTCGGCCATGTGCCCGGCGCCCGTGTCACGGATGACCTTTTGCATGGCAGTGTCGACACGGCCAGGGCTCATGGCGATGCTGGTGATGTCAGGCTCCTCCACTGCCAAGTGCGCAGAGAGGTGGTTCATGGCGGCCTTGGATGTACCGTAGGCTCCCCATGCGGTGTATGCGCCAGTGGCCGCGCCAGAGGACACCCAGAGGACGCAGCCCTTGGACTTGCGCAGCTCAGGCAGAGAGGCTTGGACCTTGGATGATCAAGATTAGAAAGAGTAGATGAATAAATCAGAGTTTTCACTCACCAATGCGAGCCCACTAAAGACGTTGACGTCGTATGCCTTTTTCCATTCCTCGATTGTAGAGTCTGCTAGTCGGGTGACGGGCTCCAGTACGCCGTGGTTGATGACAAGTCCGTCGATTTTTCCAAAGGCCTTGACTGCTGCCTCGGCAATTTTGGGGATGGTCTGCATGTATTGTTAGGTCTGATACCTTCGATAGAGTCATCTTCCAGTCCTACCTTCAGATCCCCCAAGTCCCCAGCAACGTACTCAACCTGCCCAGGATGAGCAGCCTTCAGAGCCTCCAACTGATCCTTGGATCTCGCCGCCAAGACAACTTTATGGGATTCCTTGATGAGGTGCTGGGCGATGGCGAGGCCAATGCCTCGGCTGGCGCCGGTGACGATAATCACCTTTGAGGCCATGCTGTGCGATGATTTGCTCTGCGAGAGATGCGACGTTAAGCTTGGGGGCTTTATCAAAGTTGTTTCACGGGTTAGGATCAGCTGAAGGAGAGCAACAAGCTAGACAAGATAAAATAAAGAAAAGACTCTGCAACGCGAAGACGGACTGGGAGGCTTGCGCCATTCCGAAGCAGCGGAGCGGTCTTGCTGTTTCTGTCCTGCGTTGTGCAGTGGAGCGGGGCCTGGAGCATCGAGTGTCCTTATCTTATCAGTTTGGCGGGGTCGAGAGCTCCGGTCTGCTTGAGCTCGAGCTCCCATGACATACGTCATTGTTCGAGATTCGAGCTTCAAGCTTCGAGCTTTAGGCTTCCTTTCAACGGTTCACAAGCGCTGTCTCTTCTCTGCTACTGCGACAATGAGCTCAACAGTGATACTAGGATCTGGCATCATTGGCCTGTCAATCGCATACTACCTCGCAGACCACCAACCAGGCTCAACAATCCACCTCGTCGACCCTTCACCAGAGCTCTTCGCCTCCGCGTCAGGGTACGCAGGTGGTTTCCTCGCAAGAGATTGGTTTTCCCCCGCCTCGGCCTCCCTCGGAGCGCTGAGCTTTGACGAGCACAAGAAGCTCGCCGAGAAGCATGGCGGCAGGGAGAAATGGGGTTGGTCTTCGAGTACGACCTTTAGCCACGCAGCAGCACCAGTAAAGAAGGGCAAGAAGGACGCCGACTGGTTGCAGGACGGCGGGAGCAGAGCAGAGGTTGTCGAAGCCGTCGAAACTCCGAGCAATGGGCCACCATGGCTGAGGAGGGAGCATGGGGATGACGTGCAGATCATCGGGGATCCAGAAACCACGGGCCAAGTGTGCGTCTCCAGTCCAGCCTCATGCACTCATGCACATATATGATGTACACACCCTCTCTTCCTCTCTCTCCATCAAGCTGGTCCAACATGCTGTCTGAGCACGGAATCTGACTCCAACCACCAGGGATCCCCTCCGCATGTGCCAATTCCTTCTGCAAGAGTGTAAATCCGCCGGCGTCCACGTCCACCACCCAGCCACAGTCCTCTCCATCCACACCGACCTCCGTGACGAACTCTCATCTGTCCGCATAGGAGAAACGACGTCGTCTACAGAGACAGACGTTCCCTGTACTCGCCTCGTCATCGCAGCCGGGGCCTGGTCGCCTCGCGTCTTCCCCCAGCTGTTTCCCGGGACATCACTAGAGCTGCCCATCTCCAGCCTCGCGGGACACTCGCTCGTCTTGAAGCCCAAGCCCACCCCCTCAGACTCAAGTGATGATAACCAAAAGACAACGACAGCCTGCCACGCCATCTTCAGCACCGACGGAGCCGGCTTCTCACCGGAGCTATTCTCGCGGGTCGGAGGCAACGTCTACATCGCGGGCCTGAACTCACAGTCCATCCCTCTCCCACCTCTACCAGGCCAAGCACCCATCTCCGCCGAAGCCATCGCCAAACTCAAAAGCACAGCGGCACGCATCATCATGAACAGCAACGACAGCGAAACGAACTTGGAAGTCGTCCGGGAGGGTCTATGTTTCCGCCCGGTCACGGACTCAGGCGCTCCCATCCTGACCCGGATCCCGGATGACCAGCTCGGGGGCATCGCGACGCGCACCGGCGCCGAGGGCGGGGTGTTTCTTGCGGCCGGGCATGGGCCCTGGGGTATCAGTCTGAGTCTCGGGACGGGCAAGGTGATGGCGGAGCTTATGCAGGGGCGGAAGCTGAGCGCCGATATATCGAGGCTTGCCCTGACGTGAGGCACCTAGCCAGTCAGCCTTGCTCAGCTA